TTAAAAATGCGCAGAATCGTCTCAAAAAAACGCGTAACAGTGATGGTGTGGTGGTGGTAGTGATGAAAAGCAGAAAGGTTTACCTTTCACTATAGTTATTTGTACTGGAAAATATACAGCAACCTTCTAAGTTGTGCACTTTAGTTTGTAGTGTCAGATAAAATTTAGAGGGTGCAATTTTTGAGAAGAAGCATCTAATCCTCCTCAAAAAAAACCTTTTCCTAGTCAAAGTGACCAACTCGGAGCAAAGCTATAAATCTCTAGTACTACCAAACGGTAAGTGAGTATTCGGGGGTTCTGTGGGACCACTTGAGCCATCTGCGGGTGGCCAACGCCCCACTCCCATTTTCTTTGTAATAGTCTCTTCAGTATTTATTTTATTCAAGTTATTTATTTTGCCTCCGCCGCAGTAATGATTAATGAAGTAATTTATGATTCAGTTATTAACAATTTAATTTTTATTTTCTTTGTTTAGTTATTTGCATATATTTTAAGTTAGCAAATTTGAATATCTAGTCCAGTTTCCTTTTCAGCTAGTGCACGGGAATTCCTGCCTAGCCCTACTAGTTATGATCCTAATCCTTACATCTTGAAGATTTTTACCCTTACTTCCGGCGATAAACCGAAAGGTAGGCGCTCCATACGAACCATACTCTAACCTCAGAGGTATTTACTGTAATACCTGTCCTTACCCGCACTACGTGCATTTTGCGAAACGCCGAACCAACTTCCTATACTTGCTTATCCCGAAACCGAAAGTGGACTGCTTGATCAAGGCAAGCAGGGGTGGTGGTGGGCCACTTCCTTCCTTACCTATACTTCCGTCTTACTACACACATGCATTGTGAGGGACGTTATGTAAGCGGGGTACTTAATTATTTTTTATTCCTTAGATTGATTACCTACGTTTAAAGGGTACTTAGACTTGTTTTCTTAATTCAGCAGTTTTGATTCTTAATTTTCTAAACGTGTTTATTTTTTGTTTGAGATTCTAGAAGGGCAGCTTTTCCTCATCTATGCATGGACCCTTGTATTTTTTTGGTCTTTATTCGCAGGATTACCCATACTTCAAGTTAATCAGTATGACCATACCACTGTAATGGAGTAACTGGGTCTTTTTACGAGTCAGATATAAAGTTAATTTCTTCCCTTCTCAAGTGGAGTGACTGTTACACTTCATTTATTCATCGATTTTTGGTATTTAAGGGTAAGTGTGCGACTGAATATCTATATTGCTTGGTTGATTACTAATTTCATCACTTGTTCACAGCGCTAACAGTGGACTTCTACATCTACAGATGACTGATGATGGGGACTCTGCCGGTGGGGACCACAGCTGCTGTGATGTATTAGCTCACATCTAGCCAATCGTCAATCCTGTTGATCACACGTGCCCTGTACAAAAAGGAGGTAGGTAGTGTACCATTGTGTTTAACTGGTAAATTCTCTCAAAACGTAGCCATTTCTTATCGCTAATAACTGGATTTCTCAAATCACATGATGCAGAAAAAATATTTAATAACATTTTACACCAATCGCTAATTATCGCGATCATTCAAACCTTTTGGTGGTATGGACACTTACACATAATATTTAACTTTTCAGATATGGTGGTGCGGAGAAAAGGACATCGTGTGTCTAATGGTTAGCGTGCCTTCGTTGGAGTTCCCCTCTAATAAGGCTAGGGTAAGTCTTTTTTAAGAAAAAATATAAAATATTATTATATTTATTCTTTGTTTACCCGTTTTCTGGGGTGAACGGTTTACTCTTCCGTTTTCAAACTTGATTGCTACATTTCATCTATTATTAGGCAAAGATCAGCTTGATCTTTTTTAGTAGAAAAGTACTTATTTATTTAGTGTGGAAAAATTCTCAAACAATGACTTTTTTGTAGCAATGCACCTTTTAATTCTATGAAACTACTCGGAATGCCGCGCTTTGCTCAATATAAAACCGACTTTATTTCTCTAATCTTAAATAAAATAATTGAAAGGCATCACTCACTTGCGCCACTCTCCGTTAAAAATGCGCAAAATCGTGGTGATGAAAATCGGAAAGATTTTTCTTTCATTAAAATTGTACTGGAAGGGAAATAGCAGTCTCCCAATTTGTGTACTTTTGTACCTACTTTTTATGGTAGGTACCAGATCAAATTTTGGGAGTACGGTTCTTGACAGAGAAATAAACGTCTAATCGTCCTCAGAAATCACTTTGCTCCATACTATGTGCCTACTTGTACGAAGTCTTTTGATGGGGGTGGGTTCTCAGGCTTGATCCGTTACCATAAACAAATAAAAACAATACTTAGGCCTCGTAATCAAACTGACTAAACTTGGAGAAATGCTTTAGTAGGTACCTACTATCAAACGGATCACCCACTCCCATTTTCTTTCTAAGTGAAAAAAAGCGTAAAAATCTATTAATTCGGGGGTTTAGTGGAAGCGCTTGAGCCATCTGCGGATGTCCAACGCCCCACGCCCATTTTTTTTTAAAGGGAGGGAAGCGTAAAAATGTAATAATCGGGGGTTCAGTGGAACCACTTGAGCTATTTGCGGCGGCTCAAAGGCTCCACTCGCAATACTCGCATATTTTTATTGGCTAATTTGGTAATTTAATTGAGTAATCAGTGGGTAGTACTTGAGCCACCTGCGGATGCAAACCCTACACCCCATTATTTTGAACTGAGCTCGAATCTGCGTTGGAACTAAGTAGTTTTTTAATACAGCATTTTTTCCCATTGCGAAGGGTGTCATTTTTGCGGTGCATTAAAAATAGGTAATGGGTTTACAGACTATCCTAGCAACAATTTATTCACTATTCGGCAACATAGGTACAATTTTAACTCCTCGTAATTTTGAAATTACGAATTTCCTAATAACAAAAGTTTCTTCTTTTTTAGCAATCCCCAATTGCGCCATACGCATACAACCGCAGCAATATGACAATTTATACCCTGATCGTTGTAAAATTGCTTTTACTTGCCAAATTCTCTACCACGAAGATTGTTACTTTTGTGGTGCTTGTAAATTTATTTGTTTCTTGACTAGTTATGTTTTAAGGGCTGGCCAGTAACCCTCTGTACATCAACTTATCTAAATAGGTATAACTTTGTCTTTTCCAATCTTTAGAAATAATTGAAAGGTATTGATGGGTTCACTTGAGCCTCTCTCGGTTAAAAATGCGCAGAATCGTCTTAAAAATACGCGTAACAGTGATGGTGGTAGTGATGAAAATCAGAAAGGTTGACCTTTCATTATAATGTACTGGAAAATATTAGCAATCTTCTAAGTCGTCCACTTTAGTTTGTAGTGTCAGATAAAATTTAGAGACTGCAGTTTTTATAAGAGAAGAAACATCTAATCCTTCTCAAAAACCTACTTTGTATTAAGCCATTGAATATTTTTTATTCTATGATTAAGTGTAGCTTCTGATGGTTGGTTAATCTGAACAGAGCTTTGGTCCCAGACATTACTTTGCCTCGTAGTCAAACTGACCAACTTGGAGGAGTGCTATAAAGTATACATCTCTAGTACTATCAAACGATAAGTGAATATTCGGGGGTTCTGTGGGACCACTTGAGCCATCTGCAGGTGGCCAACGCCCCCTTCCCATTTTCTTTGTAATAGAGTCCTTTCAGTATAATTTTATTCAGGTTATTTATTTTGCGTCCGCCTCATTAATGAAGTAATTTATGATTCAGTTATTAACAATTTAATTTTTATTTTCTTTATTCATTTATTTATATATATTTTAAGTCTATAGCATGTTTGAATTTTTAGTTCAGTTTTTCATTTTAAGCTACCTACAACATTTTTGCACAGCAATTCCGGCCAACCCTGGTTATGATCCTAATCCTTCCATTTTGGATTGAACCGAAAGGTAGGGAGTCCATACGCACCATACTCTAACCTCAGAGGTATTTACTCTACCTGTCACTACCCGCACTACATCTTGCCAAACGCCAAACCAACTTCCTATACTATGATCTATCTCGAAACCGAAAGTGGACTGCTTGACCAAGGCAAGCAGGGATGGCGGTGGGCCACTTCCTTCCTTACCTACTTCCATCTTACTTCACACATTCATTGTGAGGGACGTTATGTAAGCGGGGTACCTAACTATTTTCTATTTCTTAGATTGATTACCTACGTTTAAAGGGTACTTAGACTTGTTTTCTTAATTCAGCAGATTTGATTCTTAATTTTCTAAACGTGATATAGTTTTATTTTTTGTTTGAGATTCTAGAAGGGTAGCTTTTCCTCTTCTATGCATGGGCCATTGTATTTTTTTGGTCTTTATTCGCAGGATTACCCAACATACTTCAAGTTAATCAGTATGACCATATACCACTGTAATTTTGCTTTTGCTTTTTTCTGTAATTTTCTGTTTGATTGATTACGTTTAAAGGGCTCTTATCAACCCTTTATATACATCAATTCAACATATACTAATTTAACCCCTAATAGCTGGTAAATATGAAGTCATACTGCGTCTTCTATTGCCCCGGCGCAGACAAAAAGTCATGTGATGATCGCGGAGGCGCTTGAACTCGATTAGAAGTATTTTATTCGTTTGAGAGGGCTATCGAGGCCATTATGCATGGGTTAGGTATACCATTATATATAAGGTGGATATAAATTGGTTATACCTACCTACCTGCTACCTTAGATCGGGACCAGGGAGAGTTTTTTCCAATGTGTACACTGATTAATTAACTTTGAAAAAACCGGTTATTTTTAGAACGCTATACTTTTGAAAAAAAAGTCAGTCAACTTGGACATAAAATTATTAGCACAAGGGTTAAACTTTTTGGTTTGCTATTTCTGGAGGGGATGTGGACTTTTAGGTGGTCCAAGTTTATCTTTACAAACGAACTGCATTATATACGTTCACCTCTTAAAATCAAAACTTGAAACATACAAAAATTAAGTCATAGCGTACAATATTTATATTTTCAAAAATAAATACAAACGATGAGGTACACTGTTATATAGGTATTCAATGCTTTAGTGATGTATGGATAATTAGGTACATTAGTTTGTATAGTCACCATAAATATTTATAAAATAGGCAACAATATATGAATTATCGAATAACAATATAAAATATTAAAAATGTGGTGTATCAACACTGTAAATGGGTGTATTCATAAAAACGTCTACAACAAACTGCCACTTCTGAATTACTGATAATAAATAAATAACAGTGTTGGTTAATTCAAACCAGCTCTGTTGTACAAAATTAATGAAATCTACCTAACGTTACAACTAAAACATTTGGTCAATTGAGTTGTACCAGTAATTACAATAGACTCAGGGTCTAACAATATGCTCACATAAATAATTAACAATTATAATTTGTATGCAAAAGTGTCCATTTTTAAGGCACTAAACAAATAATTGTGAACCTAAACGTTACTTGTATAATTAAACAATAATATGCGCAACGTGCGGTTAGTTATTACATTTACACACACCATTTTTATAATAGAAAAAAAATCCAAACGCTGCAAAAACACAGGTAAATGTGATAAATAGCTTAAGAATACACCTTTAATATGGTATAGATTAATATTTCTGTGTTGCAGTAGTAGTCTCCTTGGTAATCTGTCTCTCCCCTTGGGCCAAAGCACCGGCTCTCATAGCACGAAACTTAAAATATGAATCCAGAGCGTAAATTATAGTTGCGCTAAACCCAAAGAAGGCTGCTGCATGAAATGCCGAAATGGTCGAATTGGCAACCATGCTTGAACAGATCAAAAAACATAGAGCCAATATTCCGTTGAAGAACAGTTGGAAGTGAATCCACGGAATTTTATACAGTTTTTCGATAATATGAAATAAGTAGAGAATTAGCAGGATTCCGGTCGTCCATACTCCGAACATTGACACAGTGCTATAAAACTTCCCCATCGAAAGACTGGAAAATTCTGTGCATTGTATGCATATGAATCCAAGTAAACTGAGCCCCTAAAAACCAAAGGTGTAAACCGAGGTGTAAACAATGTAAAATGTCATAGGTAGGACTCACAACTTCGGCAATCTTGAAAATCCCATCCTTTGACCTAAAGTATGACGAATCGTATCGCAATGTCGTTTGCACTCTTGTAACTGTGGTCGTTGTTGTATGTTGAGCTGGAAAATTCACGTCCCCCATCTAAAATTAAGATTATCCTCATCTAGGTACAATATGCAAATTATGTATAATTTCGTAATTGTTATTAATAGAAATGCACAATAACCTTACCTTTTAATTAACAATTTTATTCATTAAATATTTGGAAGTTTAAAGAACGTTTTTTTTGCAAAACGATGTGAGGGGTGGGCATGGAAAAACCAAGCCACAGACCATCAATAACCAAGTCACTAATTCGGGTTTTACAGTTAACAATTTTATTATTTGAAATGGGATTAGTGGTACTATTGGCAACCCTGTGTAACTATGACGTCACCAATTTACACAGATTTTAAAAATTGTGTCAAAAAGTATTTTTAAAAACAAGCTTTAGTTGGAGCATACAAAGCTAAAGTAGTAAAAGCAATAAATTAAGTTTTGCTCAAAATGGATAATTAATTCTAGTAAATATAAATTAAATGCTTGCCTATACTTACTGTATGTCGTTATCATTGATTAGATATAGGTAATTTAAATATTATGTGTAATAGTTTTGCTAAAAAGCAAGCTAACACTAACATATCAAGTCAAATCTTGAGAAATAGGTAACTGGTAACAAATAGTGGAGTGATCCATTATTTTACAATTGTCCACTGTAAAGTAATTAAAATTGGTAAGGACTGGTTTGAAAAATCTAGACAAGAATATATTATGTTTATTATGTTAACATATTACAGTACTATTCCTATTTGCTTGTTGTTAAAATTGTTTACAAAAATCAAAACCATCCTGATATTAAATACCTATGTGGTATATAATCAATCAGTTACATTTGATAAGCCTACCAATACTACTTTAAGTTAAGTTTTCACTGATGTACTCGCAGTCGCACTAATAACACGAAATTTTGAATACGAATCGATACTATAAATCAGCATTGCACTGTACCCAAAGAACGCTGCTGCATAAAATGCAGGAATACCTAAGGAAACCACCATACTCGAAACAATAAAAAAGCATATCGCCAATATACCGCAGAAAAACATTTGAAAGTGAATCCAAGGTATTTGGTGAAGTTTTTCCACAACATGAAATATATACAAAATCAACAGGATACCGGTCGTCCAAACGCCAAGCGTTGATACGATGCTAAAAAATGTCCCCATTGCAACAACTGCATATTCTGTGCACGCTACGCACATAAATCCCAGGAAACTTAGTCCCTAAAAAACAACGCTATGACTAAAGTAAACTTAAAATGTAATTACAATTTCGAAAATTTTAATAATGCCATCCTTCGATCGCATATACAGCGGATCGTATCGCAATACTGTTTCCACTCGTGTCACTGATGTAGTCGTTGGGTGTACTGGCAAATCTTCGTCCCCCATGAGTGACTCGCGCTACTAATTTTTAACATAATACACAGAAACGTGAAAGTGGATTATGTAAACTGTTATAATTGTTATTAATAGAAATGTATAACGACGTCGGAAATTAACAATTTCATTTCATTAGCTGAAAAGCTCTAGGACATTAAAATCCAGCATCCCAAAACTCATAAGCCAGACTATGAACTAAGAAAACATAAACCATCTCAGCTCTGATTTCAGCCAATTAGGAAATCGGCCCATTCCCTTTCCACTACTAAAATTACTTGATACTGGTAAACATTACTTATCATTTCACTAACAAGAAGGTTCGCAAACGTTCAGTCCCAGAACCTGCGTCCTGCCTCCTACAACCGTGTTCCTAGTCCTATTATTGTTTCCATATTTTGTCCTTTCTATTCTATTTTTTGAACTATTCCACCACTTCTTTAGGTAATCCTGTGAACTTGTCATCTCTAATATTTCTCCCTCTTTTCTTCATTTGTATGTTTTTTTCATTCTTAAAACTCCATGTTTTTTAATTTCGGGCCCCAAAAAAGGCACTGTACAACCTTCCTTTTTTACCAAAAATCGACTGCACGAAAATTTCTCGGGAAAACATTTTTTCTTATTAATTTTGGTGCGTAGAATCCAAAACAATTCGTACTTTTTCGATTAGACTTCTCAATCAAAAGTTATAGACTATAGAAACCAATTTCGAAAGAAAATTCAAAGGGCTGTTTTTGAACTATTAGCCCAATCTTGGAACTGTTTGAAATTATGGATTCTACAGGCCACATTCTATAAGAAAATTTTTTTCCGGGTTGATCTGAGACAATTTTTTTTTCGGGCCTCAAAAAAAGGCAGTGTACAACCTTCCTTTTTTACCAAAAATCGACTGCACGAAAATTTCTCGGGAAAACATTTTTCTTATTAATTTTGGTGCGTAGAATCCAAAACAATTCGTACTTTTTCGATCAGACTTCTCAATCAAAAGTTATAGACTAGAAACCAATTTCGAAAGAAAATTCAAAGGCTGTAACTATTGAACTAGTAGCCCAATCTTGGAACTGTTTGAAATTATGGATTCTACAGGCCACATTCTATAAGAAAATTTTTTTCCGGGTCGATCTGAGACAATTTTTTTTTCGGGCCTCAAAAAAAGGCAGTGTACAACCTTCCTTTTTTACCAAAAATCGACTGAACCAAAATTTCTTTGGAAAACACTTTTTCATATTAATTCTGGTGCGTAGAATCCAAAACAATTCGTACTTTTTCGATCAGACAATCAAAAGTTATAGACTAGAAACCAATTTCGAAAGAAAATTCAAAAGGCTGTAACTTTTGAACTAGTAGCCCAATCTTGGAACTGTTTGAAATTATGGATTCTGCAGGCCACATTCTATAAGAAATTTTTTTTTCCTGGTCGATCTGAGACAATTTTTTTAGGGCCTCAAAAAAAGGCAGTGTACAACCTTCCTTTTTTACCAAAAATCGACTGCACCAAAATTTCTCGGGAAAACACTTTTTCATATTAATTTTGGTGCGTAGAATCCAAAACGATTCGTACTTTTTCGATTAGACTTCCCAAAAAAAAGTTATAGACTAGAAACCAATTTCGACAAAAAATTCAAAGGGCTGTAACTTTTGATCCAGTAGCCCGATCTTGGAACTGTTTGAAATTATGGATGCTACAGGCCACATTCTATAAGAAAATATTCTTTCCCGGTCGATCGGAGACAATTTTTCTTTCGGGCCAAAAAAAAGGCAGTGTACAAACCTTCCTTTTTTACCAAAAATCGACTACACCAAAATTTCTCCGGAAAACACTTTTTCTTATTAATTTTGGTGCGTAGAATCCAAAACAATTCGTACTTTTTCGATCAGACTTATCTTTCACATATAATGCCACAATCTTTCAAATACAATTTTGAATGAATTTTTTTTATATTTGACACAGTTTTAAGGTTGGGGGAGAGATATTACTTTTGACTCTTCTTGTACGTATAGCGTTGGTGTAGCCACAACTATTAAATTCCCGTGCGTAATTCCCCACCCAATTGAAAATATTAACCTAAAACTAATTAACCTCACTTTTAATTTTTTATAATTTCATATTTCATTTAAAAATGGGAATACGAGGACTAACTACTTTTATAGCACATCGTTCCGATTCGTACTTAAAACATTATAAATTGCACGACACGTATTTGGTCATTGATGGCAACAGTCTCGCTGCTAACTTATATCAAGTAAATCGGGCCAGAAACGATTGCTTTGGTGGTGACTACAACAAATTCGAAAGGACCCTATGTAAATTCTTTGATTTACTAGCAAAGTGCAATATTACACCGCTTATTATATTGGATGGGGCCTATGAAAAGCGCAAATTGAGAACTGTCTATCAAAGGTTGAAAAATAAACTAAAAACTCTTCAGCAAGTGGACACTGTGTCACAGACGCACTTTAAAGTCTTTCCGTTATTTCTACGTGATTTATTCGCAGATGTTTTGGTCAGGTTGCAGCTGAAAATCATTAGATGTAATTTTGAGGCTGACTTTGAAATCGCCTGTTTAGCTAGAACGCTTAATTGTCCAGTTTTAAGTTATGATTCCGATTTTTTTGTGTATGATGTGTTGTACATACCATTCGTTTCGTTAGAAATGAATGCTGTACCGCATGATGGGGGTTATTACCTTCCTTGTCAGCTGTACGAAATGGATTACTTCCTAAAAGCTTATGGTGGTTTAAACAAATCGTGCGTACCACTGCTGGCAGTGTTGTTAGGAAACGACTATATCAATAAAAATAACTTTAAGGAGTTTTACACATCTTTACGTTTAGTTAAACGCAAGACCCAACAAAATGTCCTGCAAAGGAGTGTGAAAAGCGTAATAAAATGGCTGCAAAAAGAGTCTTACGAGTCGGCTATGGTGAAAGTGCTACAGAAGGTACCATCTTCTAAGAGAAGGCGAATTGCACAACGAATTAAGCGTGTAATGCGAGATTACATGTGCAAAAACAGCAAGTTGTTACCGGACTTGGGTATTTCGTTAAATTGTGACGAGGAGGAGTTCGAACTTGATACTGAACGCATTTTACAAGAGTCTGAGAATGCACCAATCGTCAATGAAGAATGTGACAATTGTGATGATGATGACGACGAAGAGGATCAAGAGGTTGAAGATGAAGTCGAGGAAAGTGACTGTGAGAGTGAATCTGAAGAAACTGAAGAAGTAAATTGTGAAAACGATTTTTTTCGCACAAATTATCGCCATTGCAAATTGCCAACAGCATTTATGGATATGCTAGTTGCTAATAAATATTTTTGTACGCCCCAAATTGAAAGTGCGACAAACACTTGCTCTCACCTCATTTGTGTTAAAGTGATATCAGCCATAGACAAAATCTTACGTCCCAATGCAGAAATTCGTTTAAAATTTGTGGCACGTCATCAGTCGACAAATCTCAAGTGGTATGACACCCCGGATTGCAATTTGGAATTACCATCTCTACACGACATAAGCACACTTTCAGATGGTACTGCGAGAGCCCATGTCTTTTCAGTCTTGGAGTTCCGTTATGATAATTTTTGTACAGATATTCCCAAACATTGGCAATTGTACTTCTTAGCGATGATTTATTGGATTAAAAATGCTACACCAAGCGTTACACATAGCCATGTTCAATCCCTTATATTGTGCATGTTGGTCATGAACGAATTGGAACCGAAGAACACGGTGCAGCGGGTTGCAGATAGACAGCAGGTGAACGATTCACCTCTAGACCATTTCTTAAACGAAATTTCCAAGACGGATTCTGCGCAGTGTTGCAAAGAACTGAAAAAGTACTTCGAAATGGAACCGAAGATGCGAACCTCTAACAAATATTACAACAAAAACATTGTGGATTGCTTCGCGCAATTTCAAAGCTCTCTACTACACGTTAAGTACTTAAATGCGTTGCTGAACAGACCCTTCGCTGATTGTCTAATTTCCAGATTTTATAATGGAACGTTTTTATATAATATGTGTAGTAACTTACAGAGACGTACCAATATCGACGCTTACATGGACACGCTATTGAAAGTCTGCCCGTCTGTTCTCAAATGTTTTAAAGCTATTGTTGACATGATAAAACGCTTGGTAGCATCAAATATAATAACGGCAGAAGCAAAACGTCGAAGACGGAAAAGGAAGAATACGAGAAGAATTTCAGAAGCTAGTAATGAATCGGTACCTGTCCAGGTGGAAAGCATGAACAGTGAAGGAGTTGCAGTTATGGATGAAAATAATCGTTTTTCTTTGTTGAACTTTGTTTAGTTAAATGTTTGGTTACCAATTACAAATTGTTTACTATGGAATGCCCTTTGTTTTAATTGCTTGTCTAGTTAGTTATTTTCTGATTTGTCTTAAACTGCAATGATACAGACTATTTTCGTTTTTAATTTTTTCATGGTAAACTAATCGTACTCTACATTTCTAATTAACACATTATTCAGACAGTTTTTAATGAAGATTTTGAATATGGCATCCCGTTTTTAATAACTTTTATGGTGACGGAGACACACGTGGCAACTTTAACTTTTCTAATAGGGGCGATTTTGAATTTTGACCACAGTTCTTGATAAAGATCTAAAACTTGCAAATTTGAAAATAGGATCCTATTCCTTGAATGTACTGCAACTCTCAAAATCACATCAAAGGATGAAATTTACTGTAATGCAAGTTAGCACTCATAGTCATAGGGCTTAGCAAAATGAAACTGCGTTTTATGCAGAAAGCAATCCGCTTTTCCCAGTAATACTAGGGACCAATATGAATGATTTCGTCCAAGGAAATGAAAATTTTACTCACTGTAATTCAAAATGGCGGATGTTTTCTAAAATGGCGACTGCATAATTTCAAAAATTTGTAGACCCAAAACGGTTGCACCGATTTTAGTGATTGGGGTGTCAATCAATTCGTATTGACACCTGTAATCACATATCGTCTGTGATTTAAATTACTGAAGTCAGTGCACTCATTTTGATTGTACGATGCGCCACATCACGTGTAGTGACGGCTTTCAAAATCACGCGCTCCTCTTATAATTCGTATAGTGCAAAAACTACTGGACGGATTGTCAAGAATTATTTTTCGGTTTGTAGGTAATATTGTCAGCTTTTATTTAAATGAGAAAATACGTGAACATATTATAGGATATTTAGTAGTTATTTTCATTAGAACGAAGAAATTAATTAGATTCAGACGCCATCTTTAATTTCTTAAACATTATTTTTTTCTTTTGATTACAGGTGTCAATACGAATTGATTGACACCCCAATCACTAAAATCGGTGCAGCCGTTTTGGGTCTACAAATTTTTGAAATTATGCAGTCGCCATTTTGAATTACAGTGAGTAAAATTTTCATTTCCTTGGACGAAATCATTCATATTGGTCCCTAGTATTACTGGGAAAAGCGGCTTGCTTTCTGCATAAAATGCAGCTTCCGATGTAAATATCGCTCTAAGCCCTAAGACTAGCATGTCTACATAAATATCTGTGTTTATAACTTTTGCACTATACTGTCTTTTTTGGACAAAAAATTATTACTTACTTATACAGGGTGTTTTCAAAAAAAAAGGTCAAGTATTTTATTTGTGTACTCATGAAAAAAAAAAAACAAAAAAGTCTTAATAAACATAGACCGGCGAGTTGATTTCAACAAAGATGTGCACTATTGTGTACGCATGGAAGGACACATAGAGCGTCTTGTTTTAAGTATTTTCTGTTTGTTTGTTTTTAATAATGTAATTTGTTTGAAACACTTAGTTTGCGGACCTATGTTTATTAAGGCTTCTGTTCAAGATATACGTGGATAAAATATGCCCTAATTTTTTAACACACCCTGTATATATCACTGAGCTAATAGTCTTAAATACATTAAATTTATAAAAGAAGAAAGCTCTTTATTTTCAGTAATATTGAATTACTAACGCATAATAATAACAATATTCATAGTTAAACATGGTCACCATGACAAAAATATTTATTATTTTAATGGCTATTCCAAAATATTATCACACAAAATCTTGATCGCGAAGATTATGTCAAATATATACATACAACTGTAACGAAATATACAATAACCTCACTAGCATTGTATAAATAATTGATCATATTGTATAAAAAGTCGAAAATTATCAAGGTGTACTAACGTTACTAATTTTGATTAATGATAACTTAAAATAACATTAAATACATTCATAGAAAACTAAGTAGAGGGTTGCGGAGGATGCAAGGCTACGTGTAATGCCTTTTGTAATTCTTGTCGGAAAGTAGACACTACATTCTGGAATAACGTTTCATTGGACTGCACTCGTTTAACAATATTTAACATTCGTAAACCTTCAGGACTTGAAGGTTCTATCATATCTCTAAAGAATGCTTCCGCAATAATATTTAAAATTTTTGGTATATTTTCATTTCCATGACCTAAAATTCAAAATCAAAATTACGGGGCGAAATAATTATGAACGACAACTTACCCAATACGGAGGGATGATTTTGTTCTATCAAGTCACATAAATATCCGTAAATATGTGGAGCTTCTACGGCATCTTCGATGACGGGCAACCAACTAAACCACACCGGCAATAGTTCTTCCAAATTTACAGCCGCAGGTCGATATTTTAATATTTTGGTAACCGCTGAAATTGCATTTTCCGTTGCGTTTATGTTACGGCTATCTCTCGAATCTTGATGATTAATAATTTCAACTAAATGCGGCATAATATTAGCTAATTCCCCCGTAAATTGATCGCCTCCGAACTGTGCGAGTATGCCCCACCCGTAAGCTGCCGCCTGTCGAACTTCTGGACTTTTGTCTTTTATGTATACGGCCAGAGGGTGCAAAAATACGGTTTGATATTTAACGCAAGCAGGACCGGTAAATTCGATAACGTCGTCAAAAACGCACAGGCCCCACTGGTGGTCGGCCCACGGTCGTGAGGGGTCTAGTAAATTAACAAAGTGTGTCGCAATTTGGTCGAAGAAAGGAATGAAGGCTTCTCTGTACGTCGAAAATAGCGCGTGTATCACATCGGCAAGTTTCGTTAAAACGTAGATGTCGTCGGACGCCTCGCCTTCCAACTGCTCTTCAACTACCTCGTCGTAGTCTTCTTCGAGATGTTTTTTTCGCCGGTTTGTCGCACGCTCGAAATGCTCTTGCAACAATTTATCGATTATTCGCAACAATTCGGTCATTCCGGCTTCGTCGAAGCATCCAGCTCCCAAAATTTCGATACACCGTGCGACCGAGGGTAGCAATTCGTATAGGACTTCGGTTTCCGGTTCGGTGTCGATTGCTTTTAGTAGTTCCGGATACATGTATTTCCATACGCCCACTAAAAATACAGGTCCCTTTATCGACGCGCATTCGAGAAGGTAAGGCATTGACTCGGCGGCCGCTGATCGAATGCCGTCGTGGAAATAAAACTTTAGCATAGGAACCATTAATTTGACCACCTCTTCGATGTAGTCGGCGAAGCCCTCCTTCAATTCACGGGCGTAACACAGCAACATTGTACATGCGGCTGCTTTGTCTTCCAAGCCTGTAATGGAAAGTTTTTTGTAAATTCTGAGAGCAACTTTCATTATCACTTTTTGGGAAATTCCGCCTCGTGTTTCTCTAATTTTATTATACAGGTAGAGAAAACTTCCTTACCTATTAATTAATCTCTGGTTTTTCTTCAATTATGAATAACTCTTGAATGTTAAAAATAATTTTGAACGTTTTATTTACACAATATACATTATTATTATTATTCATTCTTGTTCTTAAATAAAGAATCACATTTACCATACGGCATACATCGTTTATTTTTCAGATCTGAGGAGGTGTGATTTGTTTTTTTTTGAATATCTTCGGAACTGATCTCCATTTCCGAATTTTAAAAATTTTCATTTTACTAAGCCTTAAAATACGCAACTTTTTTCTAATTTAACCAACTTTCTTATGGTTTCCAGGGATTTAAAGTGGTATTTAGCAGAAAAAGTGGAATGATGAAATGTGGATGAAACCCTGACCCTGAACTAAATTAAATGGTCATTACGTACCAGCAGTTCGAATTCCAAAGTTCTGCTGTTCCCCTAACGACACAAATTGCCAATCGACGTCCCCTTCAACCTCCTGCATATCGTCATTGTCTAATAAGGCCACCTCTGGTTTCATGGATGCTGTTCGCATAACGGGTCCCATAACTAATGGCAAATACTGTTCGAATCGCCTACCCATAACCTACGATTGCCATTAGAAGAGCAAATTTTAATAATATTTCGAAAACTTACTTTACAAATACGCGACCAGGCCGAAATTAAATAGCTAGTTTGTGGATCATCATCCGGAAGCTCCCCACCGCCCTCGCCGTGCGTCTTTAAAAGCATATCCATAACTTCGCTGGCGTCATTCATGAACTTCTCGGGCCCAACTGCTAATCCGATCAAAGAAACGCACTCAATCGCTTTACCCCTCAGTAATTTCAGCTCGCTTTTGTTCGCATTTTGTATGATGTACTTTAGGCACGGCATCAGGCGATCGTAGTACGCAATGAACTCCTTCTCCGCGGTATCGGCGACGCTAGCGATTGTTGTCACAACCTGCTCTAATACCAGCTTAGTGCCCTTTTCGACTAACTCCTTAAATTTGGCTGTAAGAATTCCTTCCAATTTTGACATGAGGCGATCAAGGTATCCAGTTAGTATGTACTTTGGACAATCTTCGGAAAAGTTGACGAGTGCGGCACCTATAAGATGATCACAAATGTAGCGTGACAGCAAAATATAAATATACATAGTTCGTAAAATGAATGACTTTCAAAAACGGATTAGCGCTTATATTAATGCTGTCCCTGAAGTTATATATCTTTGCTGTTATAACACGTAACATTTTTGCCAAGACGTATGTGGTTTTTTTGTTTGACCGATTTCACGATGAACTAAGGGCGACGCTACGTTATAGGCGTTTTAAGTGTTTTCGTTCGCAAGAAACCTAACTGCACGTGCAGTAGCAATGATTAGCGCTAATCGGTTTTTGCAACTTATTCATTTTACCGACTATATTAATGTTATTATCTGAAAAATACGATACTGTTTTTTTAATTACAAATTTAGATCCGGTAGAAAAAATGCACAATTTTGATCATTTAACCGTCTTTGTAACTACGCCTAAGAAAGTTAGCACTTAATTTGAAACAGACTGTACATATGTGTGTTCTAAAGAGGAGAAAAATACAGAGAACTTATATACAAGAAAATTTGTACTTCCAAACTAAAATGTTAAACGATGATATAATGATAAATTAACTTTGTAAACAATGTGGTAATTTTTAGACAGTTATCCTTTTGAAAAAATGTCAGTCACTTTGGTCTGTGTGAAAAGTTTTGATCAGTTTTAATCTTCTGGTGCATGCTGAGTAAATTTAAAATGTAAAGTTCAAAAGTGTATTTGCAATTAATAGAAATCACAGCACGTCAGGGTTCTACTAATCCAAATGATCTTGACTGTAACAGCAGATAATGCCCTTAATTATAATGTCACAAGGTCTACTATCAAACGCCATTCATTGGGTATCCCCTAATGGTGTTAGCGAACCCTTCTCTTTATCTAGCACAAATGTAACAATAATACAGCAGTTCATGACTGTACCATTTGACTAATTTGTGCAATCATGAGTCACATTTATATCTCTCACAGCTTGGTTCTGACAGACTTAATTAGATGATTTGTGATTTCACACACTTCATAGTACCTAAGTAATATACAGGGTGGTCCAAATTGGACACTTTCTTATGAAAATATCCTTTATATTAAGGCTGGACAGTACATACAGAACGGAGTATGTAAAGTTGCCTATTGTCAATCCCCAAATTTGGTTATTTATAATATTAATTTGTGTTCGATGGTAAAAACATAAACTTAGTCCATTTTCTATCTGTATAAAACCAGCCACGCGGCGGAAGCTATCTTTTCGCGCTTTTGAGGAAAACTTTTAAGTTGTTTTTCCAAGATAACTTATCTATAAATGAAGTTGGAACAATTTCCAAAATTAAGATACGTTCGTAAACTTAATACCTAGGCAATAACGCCAGGAAAATTTATTTCCTTTTTTCTTTTCCAAAATATGACACCCTAACAGCCCTCGACGTTGCTCTTAAAAAAAAGCTTATTTTAAAGCATTTTAGTAAACCCCGGCGTTATTGTCTAGCTAAAGCATTCACCTTTCACAGGAATATTCGACCCCTTCTTCATCTTCACTCAGAATTAAGATATCGTGGAACGAAATCAAGTATTTTCGGGCAACGGGACGGGTGTACTGTCCAGCCTTAAGAGATAGAAAAAAATGAACCTAGATGTCTGCAGCTCAATTTTAAAGAGAAAATCATAGCGGGCGTTGTCTAAAACTTAACATTTCCAGATAACCAAGAAATTGACTTTTTAAAGAATCCTGCCATCCTATGTGCCATAGAAACCTAGATGTTTGCAATAAAAATATTTAAACGTATAAAATGCAATATTGTAAATATTTCATTTAAATATAATATATTATTATATTATAAAATATAATATAAAATGTAGTGTTGGATTCTACATAAAAAAGTGCTCTATGAAAGATTTTGTCAAAATCAATTACCTTTAATAATAAGAAATTTATCGACTAAATTCGAGAAACGCCTCCTGGCAGTCAAACGATAGTAATTTTTTCTTTAAAATTGAGCTCGAGACACCTACGCCCATTTTATCTCCCAAAATAAAGAATGTTTCCATAATAAAGTGTTCAAACACATAGAAAGACTTTACTCTTATATAAATGCCACCTTCATGTTCATTAAACAAATCGTATAGAAGTTGTTACCAATAAATTAGCAACAAATTCTACAATTCTCGTTTGTAATTACCTGCATGCGCTTGCACCCTTGGATTACCATTATCATCAAGTACCATCAACAAACCGGGCACAACACTTTCATGGAACTTCTTCTCGAAAGTTGGAGCGAAATCTGTCGACATTTGCCCAATCGCATTACACGCCGCGTATCGCACACGAGGGTGGGGGTCTTGTAAGTAGCGCAATATTCCCTCCATGACGCCAGGAACTCCGGTCATTATTTGAGGCAGCATGTCTTCCATCTGCTTCTGGCAGCCTTCACCTATTGCACCTAGTGCCATTAGTGCGGCGTGTCTTTGTTTCCAGTCGGCATTTGCCAACATTGCGGGAACATTTTGGATGACGAGGGGTAAAATTGTTTTTCCACCTACCAAAAAAAAAAGGCAATCAGAGCAATCTTCGGCTTAAAGGTCGCTAGCAGATCGTGATTGTGATTTAAATTATCGAGCTAAGGACAAATTAAAGAAACATATTTCCATAAAAAAGCCCATTGGCCTGTTTATCCACTCCTCCGAGTGATCTGAAAAGCTCCAGTAATATTATTACTGTAGTCAAAATCACGACAAAGCTGCAATAACTACAATGTCGGAAGGTCTACTATCAAACCCCATTCATCGGGAATCCCCTAATGGTGTTAGCGAACCCTTCTCTTTTTTTCTAGCACAAATGTAACAATAATACATTAATTAAACATTGTATCATTTGACTAAGTTTGTGCAAGTCAGTATACAGTAAAATAATCACCTAATCCGCATGCCAATCGGTCAAGAGCGGCTTCAGCAACAACATTGTTACAATCATTGTCTTCATCTAAAATCTCGTCCGCCTCGGACCATCCCTCCTCCTCGTCCAACTCGGACATAAACTGTAGAATCAAAGGTACGAGCTGTTCCAAATACTTTCCAGCTTGTTTTCGAACTGTGGCCGATGCAGTCTCTGCCAATGTGACCATAACCTACAGGTGAAGTTCATAAAAAAAATATTTTCAAAAACTCCTCACCTCTAAACCGAGCTGTCGCCAGCTATCCAAAGCAGAAGGGTCACTAAACGTCTTCAAGCACACTTCGTAAATGGGCAACAGTTGCGGCCGAAGGTACTTGGGGGTGTTTTCCGCTAGATCGATAAGGACCTTGAGCAGGGCGTCATCGTCCTGATGCTGAATACTTTCGGCAATTACATTTAACATTCCAGGTAACAAGTCGACAAAGTGCTTCAAAATTTGACTCTCTTTCTCGTGTATCAATATAAAGGCACCAATTGCTCTCACCGCCTGAAACCGAACCTCGTAGCTTTCGTTTTGTGCCAAACTCTGATGTAGCATTTGCTTGATTAGATCGAGATAATTTGACTGTTGATTACCGAAGACACCTGGTACCGAGGTAAACATTTGCAAAGCGGCCTCTTTTAAGACGGGGTTTGGGGCGCTCGCGCACTGACAGAGGAACTGTAATTGGATCTTAGACAGACTGTGACGGGACGCATTGTTATTACCGTTAGAAATTCGGGCCATTGGTTGTTACCGTCTTCGTCAATAAGGTTACGTGCAACTTCAGCAGCAACATCGCATACTTTGTGCCGTAATTGCACAGATTGTTCCTGTTGAATAGCCAGCAGAACTTGCTCTTTTAACTGTGCCTGGCTCGCTGGTGGGAGTTTCGGATAAAACTCCAGAAATTCGTTTGAAAACAGCCGTCGTAAAAGCACAGCTGCCATTTGGCGGCCCTCATCGGCAAGGCCTCCATTGTGTATCGCCGTTAGTAGATGACTGACTTTACCCTCGATATCTAACGAGTTGTAAGCTTCCTACAATGAAAATAATTACAATCTTTTGCTATCAAAGTCTGAAACGTAATTTCAAAAGTGATTCACTATCTAAATATAACGCCAAAGTGTGGTCATTAACAACACGTTGATTGACAAAAACGTGACCGGCATAAAGAACATTTAATAAGGCTTATTTTCCCAGAAACATTTAGAACATGCTCTTTAATTAAAGAAGTAACGTATTTCTTACCTCTGCTTGCGATCTGATATCATTATCCGTCGACAAAAGGCTAGTCAAGATTTGATAAAATTGCTCTTGCTGAGCAGCCATTGCATCGCAACATAAAAAGACCACGCGAAGAGAACAGCAAAAACTTTATAAACAAAAACTTACTAGAATACAAAAACCTAAAAAAGAAATTAAAAGAAGTTTAAAAAATATGTGACGAATGTGACATTAACAGATTTAGAATTTTAAATAACGCCTACTATTTCAAAAATCGCTCAAATTTGTACAAAATTAATTCAATCTTATAGTGCCCCTTTTTTCCCTCCACAAATAATATATTGGTTATGGTAGTTTTGGTATTCACACGTTGGTACGGATGACAAGTGAAGTACTGTACAGGCTGATTCACATTTAAAAAAATTAGACCTGAAGATGTGACAACATAGCATTTTATACGTGAAATACCTACGTGTCTTAAGCACCTTGCTACTCAAATAGGCGCATAATGAAGGCCTGAGATGCGAACTTTACCTCCTCAAAACATTGGTGGCCCTTCCTTCCAAAAATATTTCATTATGATTTAAATATATAGGTACTTTTGACTAGTACTAACAACCATAGCAGTTCGATGCGCATAGAGATGGATGTAATTGATACTCTAACACCAATTTATCTATTTTGCATTTTAACTTGTCGCCGATCAACTTAGAACATTCTCTACTAAAATGCATTACATTCATCTGTCTCAGCATCGTCTTTTCTTTTTCATGCTGACATAAATTACACTTAATTACTGAAATAACTTAGTGAAAACTGCAAGCTTTATTAATGTTTGGTTTGTCATTGATGATAATTTGATAATAAGGCACTCTGATATAATTAACCTTTGAATTCAAAGATGTAACCTAAAAATTGATGAAAACACTAACATGCACCTGTATTGTGTGATGAAGATTTAATACGTTACGTTGACGGGTTACCAACAACAGTGTCCTAACCTAACGTGAAACGTCACACCAATATTCTCAATAATGTGGAAAGATATTTTTTGCTTCAAAAATTGAATGAAATGACGACTTCTAATGCAGCCAATAATTTGATGGCGCCTCTTGTATATTATTATTCTCTTGCCGTAGCCGGTACGTTACCCACATCCAAGAATTACATGTGGTGTAAAATATAACCTCAATTTGCCTTTTAAGTTATTGTTGTATTGAAGCAAGTCCCCTGAAATAAACTTTTTCAAGGTATAATTCACTAGGTTTGATTTCTGGCTTTACTACTCTGTAAAAAACGTTACAGATGCCGAAAGTACGTTCTACATCGGGGCCTCCCCGAAAACAAAGTTTTAATCGTTCTAATCATTCGATGAACCCAGAAAGGCCTACGGAAGGTTTAAAAGGTGTCGCAAAGGTGCGAACGAAGTCTACCATCAGGCGACTGCAAATGTACAGAAATTTCAAAGCGAAACGAGATCGTACGGGAAAAATTTTAAAGCCTGCACCTTTTCAAGTGCGTATTCGATATAACCTTTGCGTACAGCGTTACAGATTGTTTTTAGGGGTGGTGCGCATCTGGAACGCAATCGCGAGTGGAACCGAATCAGAAATGGTTCGGAAACACTCGTATTATTTCACAAAATGCCTTACAAAAGTTTCAAACGGAAATGGGAGCCGCTTTGAAGGATCCGTATAAAGTGGTAATGAAACAAACCACTTTGCCAATTTCATTACTGAACGAGACCGCCAAAAATGCACGTGTTCATCTGCTTGATACTGAGAGTTTCCAAAGCGTGTTTGGCCCTAAGAAAAGTCGCAAACGTCCCAATATTTCGGTCAATGGCATGGATGAGTTGATGAAAGCTGTTGATAAAAGTGCCGAATCATATGATCAAGAAAAGGATATTGATTTAGTGAAAGAAGACACTGGTATTCGGGATATGCCCAGGGATTGGATAATGGGAGCTGGTCAGTCGAAGAGAATTTGGAATGAGCTGTACAAAGTAATTGACAGCTCTGATGTGATTTTGCAGATATTAGACGCTCGGGATCCTTTAGGCACACGTTCTGCACACATTGAAAAATATTTACGGACGGAGAAGCCATACAAGCACCTCATTTTCATTTTAAACAAAGTCGATCTTGTACCCACTTGGGTCACGCAGCGATGGGTGGCTATCTTGAGTGCAGAATATCCAACGGTTGCCTTTCATGCTAGTTTAACACATCCGTTTGGCAAAGGATCTCTCATTAATCTACTAAGGCAGTTTAGTAAATTACACGTTGATAAAAAACAAATATCTGTAGGTTTTATTGGATATCCGAACGTGGGGAAGTCCTCAATCATTAACACATTGCGTAGCAAAAAAGTTTGTAAAGTTGCTCCGATTGCAGGGGAAACAAAGTATTGGCAGTACATTACGTTAATGCGTAAAATTTACTTAATCGACTGTCCTGGTGTTGTGTATCCGACTGCAGAGACTGATGCAGAGAAGGTTTTAAAAGGTGTGGTCCGTGTGGAGCTTGTTAAAAATCCAGAAGATTACATCGGTCCGCTTGTCGAGCGAGTAAGAGCTGAGTATTTGATGAAAACGTATAAGGTCGAGGGCTGGGAGACCCCCCTTGATTTTTTGGAGAAGGTGGCTTTTCGTTATGGTAAATTATTGAAGAAGGGTGAACCGGATATACCCACCGTCGCTAGAATGGTGCTGAATGATTTTCAACGAGGGAAACTGCCTTATTATGTATTTCCACCTGGGTTTGAACAGCCTTTGGAACGCGCAGATGAGGGAGAGCAGCCAAGTGTTGTACAAGATTTTAGTAACATTAAAGTCAGTTTAGGTTACGAAGGCGAAGATATTAAAACACTCGAACCGATTGACTTGGCCAAAGCTGTGGACGAAGAGGTCGACGTTGATAATATTGATGACAGCACCACGGTTGTAGATTCTGAAATCGATTCAAAAGACAAAACTAGTCAGTCGGAGGGGACCGAGGATCCAAACTATGACTCTGATTCGTCCGAAATAAGCCACTTTTATTCAGACATGGAACATAGTGATGATGAAGTTACAAAATCTACTAGTGGCGATTTTAAAGTGCAAAAAGAGAGCCCCGATAAAAAATTAACCAGCAAACAACGAAGAGCATTGGAAAGGGCGATGAAACCAAAAAAGATGGGAAGCAACTTTTATGATGTTGTGAATGTCAAAAACAGACGGAGATAATAAATTAACAGCAATTTAGAAATTGTGATAATTTAATATTTGTTTCATGTATATAATTACATTAATTTAATGTAAACCCCTTGAGTAGTGTATACAAATTATTTTCTCTTACACTGAATGATTTTATTCTTATATTTTTAATTTTTGTACCGCACAGGGAGTATTGATACTGTATTATTTCATGTTTCGGTCAACAGTAGAAAAATACAACTCGCCCTTCAAGCAATTTTTTATCTACACTTAAGTTTCTTATGGTGGCCCTCAAAGTTCTCTTCAAGAATGTTATGCTTTAAATTTCAAAAATTTTAAAAATGCTTGTGGTATATCAAGCCCTGGCTTTCAATTTGAATTATTGAAGGAATGCATTCCCAACTCTGACCAAAGTACTGAACATTTCAGTGTGAAAATTTCAACTGAAATTTTCAATTGACATCCGTTATATACTAACCGTAACATTTAGTGTGAAAAGTTACAAAAATATATTGGGAGGAAATTAAAAGAATTCATAATTATGGGTCAATGAAATGAAATTTTGCGCTCCTGGTACGTTTTTAGCAGATAAGGATTTCTTTATTTCCATGTAAAAATTTTAAAGTTTCTCGCATTTCCTTAAATTTGTCCAATGGAATCCGAATTATCTTTCTATTTTCCTCTTTATTACCAAATTTCCGTATATTTCCCCAATTTTCTCATATCTCCCACCTGTAATTTTTTGTATTTATATTGATTTCTATATCAATTTTTTTCAATACAATCTCGTTGACAACGTAATTTGGTTGTGTTACCCAATACGCCTATTTTTCCTGTTTAAGAAAACATTCATTTAGTCCACGACTGCAAGGTTAAATGAATCTAATTTTTAAAATAAAACTAAAATTAGATTTAAATACGCAAACAGTAGGACACAATTACCTCCTACAAAACAAGGGAATATTTGAAAAGTTTGCGGCTCTGTGAATTTTTGGCATAGGTACCGTATTTTGTGAAAGGACAGTTTATTTGAAAAGTGTAACCATAGCAACTAATTACGATTACTAAGACACAAACATAATACCTGCAGCCCACGAGCCCTGTCTTGCGCCAAGAATATGAGGTACAGAAAATACCAATTTTAGGAAGCAAAAATTTCGTTTTTGAAATGGATTGTGCATTGCATGCGCACGGTTGCATTTTGTTTGCGCGCGGCCGATTTCAAAATTATGATAGAAACAATGTGGGGGGGGGGGCAAATTCATAACTGCTTCCCAATTTTACAAATAATACTTTTCACAGAGCGACCGATAGCGTTGTCTGTTTTGCTCGTCTGCGAACGCCCGCTCTCGCCTTCTTAGCTGCCAGTACCTGTATATAATGTTTGCTTCCTAAAATGGGGGAGGGGGGCAATTCACACAGGTACAAAATACTCCACAACGAAAGATGCGAGATTTAATTTACTGGCCTAAACTGCGATCTTACACGTAAAAGTATAACCTCTCTCTGTTTGGAAAATAAATTCTAAAAAGCTTACTTTTTATATAACAATCCACGGATTGTGAGTGCTGTAAGTTTTGTGGTGCAGTGGTACTTTAAATATTGTTTGTTCGTTTGAGTTTGTTGGCATAATCCACGGTCATCTGTGCGCGTAGAAGTATGTATCCGTTTTCAAATTTAATTTAATTTAAACTCACCCTTAATACATATACAACAACCATTTAATCTGAGGGTTACAATTTTTCATATTTTTGCGACTAAAGGATCGCGCGACAGAAAATCGCAAGATGTGCGCCTAGTCTTAGACAGCAGCAGTTTTTTAGTTGATTTAACGATATTCTGCAAACTCCATTTGTGAGCGCATTAAATTAAAAGGATGTTACCCCTAACCATTGTGTATTAATGCTAATAATATATAACTACACATAGTATTTAGTTAATGGTTAAGACAACTGCTTCTATAGGAATGGCTCCAATAATTGGTTGAAACAATAAAGAGCATATTGTTCCTGCTGGTACCATGTATAATAAAGGAACTGACAGTAGAACTTTTTCAAATCGACTTTGGTCAAAATTTGTAATTACCTAAAATTACTTATGTTCAAACAAAGGTAAACATAAAATTTTAAAAGATACACCTTCAAGTTTCCTATAGCTCCTTCTTGTATATTAGCGGCCAACCGTGCCTGAAAGGCGTCTGCAATGAGGTCGGTTCTACACAACAGTATGTTTTCCAAGCACTCAATTTCCATGTGGTGCAGCTGTAGGTTTCTAAACGTTCTTATTACATTTTGAAGGTTTGGTAACAGATTAATAGAGTACGAGGGCCAGTACGCCGCTTTCAAAATGAACAATGGTGCCCACAAGTAGACCAAAACTTCGTCTTGAGCATGCTTGCTTAGTGTACCAAATCCTGCGTTATGTCTTACACTTTTTATTGTAGCTAGTAGAATTTGTGCCGATATTTCATGTATAGGCTGTAATTCTCGCGATAATTTGAGCACTTGGGGCGGATGCATTTTTGACTTTCTCGGGCCGCGTTCCTCTTGAACGGCTGGAACAGTTGCAAACATGCGATTCTGCAATATTTACCTAGGCTTACCTGCTGTATTCATGCAAACGGCGAAACAACGTTGTAATCGGCAATACGGGCACCAATTTCGCCTAGCCTTATCAATGATACAACGCCCGTCGCCGGCTGAAATAGTTCGAGGGTCTTATAGCGGTTGAAATTGTAATACATACAAATGCAAGTATAAATTATATTCCTTCGGACGCTTCGTTTAAAAAAGCAGGAGCACCCGTCGCAGCAATACACCCCATAATGTTTTCCGTAGGATCTATCGCCGCAAACCTTGCAAGGGACGGGCGAAGGCAAGGAGCGACCTTAAACAGAAAAGTACGTTAAGCCACTCCGCGAAAATCATATCTACATCATGTACCCATTTCGTATGTAAGACTTCTCTTTACTTGAATACCAAAATTTTTATTGTAAGCTCTATTTATACCTACCTCATACTTCTCATACATGACAGGTCAATTCTTATTCTGCAGGTCACCCCTTTTTGACGTGGACACGTGGCTTTTGCTCTTAACAGGCGCTGTTTAACAATAGTCGTTGAGTGGTGGTTTAATATTTGATAAGGACTTATCGGTAATGATCGGTACTCAACACTGACTTATTATCTTGGGTTGTTGTCCATAATGGTGGTAAATAAAGCAGCAATAAGATATACAAAAATATTCAGCATTCATTAAATTTTAATTCAGTGGCAGTGATTTGACAGGTCGATTGAGGCCCTACTATTAGAAATAAATGTTTTGCAAAGACTGCGACCCCTTATAGTTGCTCAATTAATATTTGATCAACTCGCAAACGTGACATCGTTATTTAAGGTTTCAGGCTTCTAATCGATTTTCTTTAGTATGTACATTATGTAGAAAAGTATGTAATGGGGATGTAAATTGTTGTTTCTTTAAAATGTACCAACTTCACAGTCACTGCAATGTGACAATGTTAAATACCTACCAACAACCTATTTTTCACTAATATCATACAAGGACACAATAAAAACTAATAGAGAATTTATTTACCGACAGGTTTCAAACAAGGCAAGGGATAATTCTAAACAAAGTTATATTGTTGCACACAAACAGACAGACAAACACAAGATTAGTAAATCCCTTGAAGAATGGAAATTGAATAAATAAGCATTCCAACACCCTACACTGGTTAAAATTGTATGTACGAGTGCTTATTGCAAAGTATGAACTCATCTCATTTTTGACTAAAATTTTGAAGACTGGCGTTGCATACTTACCTAACATCAATAGAAATTGAAACATTGTCGTTGAAAACTCTTTCACTCCAGTCTCCATTCTTCCACTCCACAAAAACAACAAGAATTGAAATTATGGATCATTTATGCAAATATAAGTAGGTAATTATTGTGAAAATGCAGGAAGAATTAACTCGAAATTGATGGATGACCTTCAAATTAATTTTTTTCCGTAACATTTCAGCGGCAAGATGGTATGGCCTTTGCGGATATAGGTCAATAATTACAGTTATTTTAACGGCCTTTTTGTGTAGTGGTTTAATTCTTTTATATTATCAGGTAATGTTAGATGTAGATGGGCAAACCAATGAACAAACCTTTTCTATATAATCAAGTGTAGGTAACCAATGCATTACAAAGAGAGTCGACCGTAAATTCAAAACAGTGGTGAAGATCAAACAAAATTACACAATGTTCTTATAGTATATCTATATTAAGTATAAATAAAATACGTTCATACATAGATTGTGCTTTAAGGCTATAACCAATAATACTGGCAAAATCTTGAGATAGTTGCTGGCGACTAGAAACTGTTTAATCATTACAAGCAGTAAACGTGCTTAATCGAATTGTTTAAACAATAAGACTAGATTGATAAATCCAAACATTCCATCTCGTACTCCTTCAATACACTAAAAAGTATGTGTAGCAAAAAACACAAACATTGTGAAATACTTACGAATCCTCCGGCATTTCTAAATAACCATTTTCGATGGCATTTTCATTACTTTCCTCCGGATCATCGAGTGTCTCTATAACAAAATCAGTAATCGAACAAATACAGTGACAACATTAAGGCTTACCGGAGAGGGGAGGGACCGTTGCAGTGCTAAGATACTCGATATTTAAATATGGAGGTAACGCAGTGTCTTCTTCTTCTTCCTCACGTTGCAATTGATGCGAATCTACCATTTCTAACCACTGGTTGTTATGGGTCCGGAATCGTTCGATACGTATACGTTCGCCCCATTCAGCGTTACGTTCCATTATAACATTAAGGCATGTATTGCACAATTTCCTAACGGCCTTATTATTGTCCAACAGCAAATCAACCAAATACGCAGGCGCTTCTAAAACCGCACAAGTTAACAAAACGCAAAATATAGATGTGATTGAAAACCTGTCTTATTAATAATGAAATCCGTGGTATCGTTGTGGTAAAGCATTACATAAAATAAATAAATTATCTGCAAGACCATCTCGTCGTCCTCCTGGTACGCCTTTAGAAGATCAATGCAGGCTTCGACAACATTCGCATTGCACAACAATCGCGCGCAGGATTCATCGTAAGCCGCCGTGCCGAAAAGAACGATCACCTACACGGTAGAATAAGACTCAAATGTCAAATATCGAAAGTGATTTACCCGTAACAGAAGGTCGGCCTCTGAATTGTTGCTGGTTAAAGCGCCTTTCAGTTTTGGAATCATGTTGAAGTGTTTAAATATTTCACACCAGTCTAGATCGGGCAAACATAAGTTCGACAATACCCCAAGGCACTCCAAGACAAAGTTTTCCTTTCTCGATTCCGTCACCGCCTTCGCTAGGTCGCCGACAAATTCCTAAATGGATTAATGCGCTTTAAATTTGAAGCACTACTGCTACTAGGATAAGAAATGATTGTGCGCAATGAAGATAAACAAGTTAGAAGCATATTGACATTTATAACTGGCCAGTTATAAGTAACAATTGTTATTTATAGGTAACTGACAATTGGCAATTGACACTTATAACTGGTATACTGTCATTTATAATTGAATGTAACTCTCAAATGTTAAAAAAAAGAAAAATTAGATTATTGTGTCTGACTGTCGCGCCATTTTTTTTTACTTACTTGTTACCCAGGCTTACAACAAGTAACTCGGAAAAAGCGTATAAATTCGAATTGGCTGATTTTTTGTGCCAAAGAGGTCGGTGTAATCGAGGAAGGTCTTTGGTGGGAATTGGGGAGATTGCTCATGGTCGCCGGGCAAGAAGGTTATCGGAAAATGATTATTAATCATGAAGATCACTTATGATCGCCAAACAAATAAGTTGTTATTTTTGAAATTAATTAAATAATTGTTGGTTGTGAAACTAGCAAGTATTCGCCCCCATTTGTACCACCATTTCTTTTTACCGCCAATCGTTATTGGTCTAAATTTGTATTGTATCAAAGTTGCAACTCAAACTATCAACGCCTAATACCCGAAAGTTATACAATATTCCGTTGTGGAGCTCTTGTGGACAGTTAATGAAGCTATAAGCTCCTTTTTGAGAAACAAAATTATGCTAAACTCATCATTGAATTTCACGTTATCCAATAGTCAGGGAGACATTTCTGAAAAGAGCATGTCTAACGGCGTTTTGTGCTACAAGCTGGCAACAGGCGGTTCTAGACTAATTCGACCCCGCTGAAAACGATGCGCCCTGTTGCCAGACCCGATTTTGGCATTTAAGCCCCCAAATCCAAGGTGGAGGCCGAAATTACCGTTTTTCGGTTATTTCGAGCCCCCAAGGCACGCCGCTGAACTTTTTGGGTACTTTACGGGTAGAATAACATCTGGGACACCCGACGACACCGTTTAAGTACACTTTGGTATGCATATTAAGTACCAAAATGCCGCATAAAAACGTCAAAAATACAAAATTCGTCATTTTTCGTCCTTTTTTTCCTTTCTGGCCTGGTGCCGGCGTCCAATATTTATTTCTATGTTAAAATTAACATTTAAATATGTGGGGACCTCCCGCAGCACCATATGCCAGGGGCCTAAATATCAATATGGCGCCTGGAAAGTCCAAAAACGTTTTTTCGCCGTATTTTTACTACACTGGGCACTCATTCGCTATTTCTGTGGCCCGGAGCAATAATATGCGAATTGTGACTACAAATCCAGATGTTACACATCTGAAGGGCTTAACTGCGAAAATGGGAACCAGTCTCCTATAAACGATAACGTGGCGTTTACATTGAAAAAGTGGAAATTTGTTTCCACAATAACTTCCTTCTGGGTATACAGTTTTGTTTGAAATAACATTCATTCAATTCATTCATTTGCATGAAATAAAATTTATTTAGCTAATTCCTGTACTTTCGCCGTTATTTAGGAAAGAAGTTCTTAAAAAACTCCCATTAAAATATATATCTTTCATTTTTATCACACACTGACAATAATTTGTTATCAAATTTAACTTCATTCACAAGCTTAAACCTTGAGCAACCATCGGTTGTTAACAGAAGTTCGATTTTTACCTCGAAACAAAGTTATTGAGGAAATCACAAGGCAAGGCGGCGTAATTTCAGGGCAATATGGGTAAGTAAAAATATAATATGAAAATGCACTTCCCAATTTTTCTTTGATTTGTTTAAAATGTAACTTTTGGCAGTTGAAACTGTTAAGAATATTAAACACTAATATTATGCAAAATGAAAATCTTTATGGAAATGATTTTGCGTTTGAAACTTACCCGCCACCACGCTCCCTTTCTTCGGAGCTTGTTCACGTTGCACCGAGTTACTTGAAATCTGTAAGAAGCGGTACAAATGCTATTAACGCCAGGCCAGCAAGAGCGAGGCAGTTGCCGTAGTACTAGAAAGCGTTTTCCTTTTTTATCCCTGCTGTTTGGAGGAAACGATGCTTTGACACATATTGATGGCGTGACCCATGGAAAGGGCAAAATTGCAAGGGAGGCAGGGAAAGTAACATTATTTTACCTTACATTGAAAGCGCTAACGACCCGAACGATGACCTTTAATATTATTGTTTTCCCTGATAGGGAGGAAGTCACAATATTTGAAAAAGTTGAATTGTAACGTTCTCATTCATTAGATCGTTTGGCATTTTGCATAATATTATAGTGTTCAATATTCTAAACAGTTTCGACTGCCAAGCCAAGAGTTACGTTTTAATTAAAAATTTAAAAGCATGTTTTCACATAAATTTTTACTTACCCAAAATACCCTGAAATTAGGCCGCCAAACCAATTTCTGCCTCTTGGTTCCATAGTTAACATCCGCAGTTAAGCCCTTCAGGCGTGCAACATCCGGATTGGTAGTCGTAATTCGCGTATTATTGCTCCGGGCCACCGAAATGGGAAATGAAAATGGTCAGTGTAGTAAAAAAAACGGCAAAAAGAACTACTTTTTCGCTGTTTTTAGACTTTCCAGGCGCCATATTGGTATTTAGGCCCCAAGCATATGGCGCTGTTGGAGGTGTCTACATACTTAAATGTTAAGTTTACCCTAGAAATAAATATTGGGCAAAAAGACAAAAATGACGAATTTTTGCATTTTTGACGTTTTTAAGCAGCATTTTTGCATTTAGGCTCCTATTATGAATACAAAAGTGTGCCTAACCGGTGTCTTCGTGTGTACTAGATGTTATTCTACCCGTAAAGTATACCCAAAAGGTTCAGTGGCGTACCTTGGGGGTTCGAAATAACCGAAAAGTGGCAATTCCAGTCGCCATCTTGGATTGAAGAGGCTTAAATGCCAAAATCAGGTCTGGCAACAGGGCGCATCGTTTTCAGCGGGGTCGAATTAGTCCAAAACCACCTGTTGCCAGTTTGTAGCACAAAACGCCGTTAGACATGATTTAGAGAGCCTTTTTCAGAAATGTCTCCCTGACTACAAGAGACTCTTTGTACTATTTAAATAAATCAATAAACAGTCAGTGTTAATACTGTCATGTATTCATTTTAAACTTATTTACTTCAATTAAAGGTGTACTTAATTTACATGCCTTATTATTTAATGTGGTAAGAAACCACCACTTGGTGACAGCGATAGTGACTGAAAATTTAGTAAAAAATATTTTTTGTCCCAGAATTTAAAATTTAGTTCTAAAAGTGGCCATTTTGATTGATCCATAAAGCCTCGCTAGGTATATAAATTATCAGCAACTATAAAAATATAAAGGGTTGCCTTTGATAGTTGCAATTTAAACCCCCTAGACTTGAGGATATAACTAATTCGGCAACAAAGTGAAAAATAGGAGTAGGTGACCACTGACTGCCAATTTATGAGCACACTGTATAAGATTCTTGAATAGCTATTAAATTATCAGTGGGGCCAATACAGTAGATCTATTGTAACCCTACCAACTTACTATAAAACTTGATCTAGTAATATCGTGCTCCGAAATATTATGAATCATCTTCATAAGTAGCTCATCTTCAAATCGAAAGGCTCTCGTCATCAAGGATTGTAGTCGACTATTATCTGCCATTTGTTGCGCATTTGTGGGATGTATCGCAAGATTGATGCATAACGCAACCATCACTTGGTCAACTTGGTCGGCAATGCTTAAAAGCAGCATATCTGTAATCTACGAAACAATGACAGAACTCTGCAGTATTTACCTACCAAAGATACGCAGTCGGTGTAGGCAAAATGCACGATGATGTCTTCATCATAACTTAAGTGATACAATAACTTAATTACGATATCTTGATGCCTATCGTCTCCTAGAAACCTTCAAACTTATCATTCTACCGAAAAAATCAAAAACACTTACGTAACAAAGAAACAAACTTAGGTAAACAGCCATTCTTAAGCATTTTCGCCCTTAAATCCTCATCAAAAGATAAATTAAACATCAACTTTAACGTAAGATGTACCAGGTCTGCATTATTAGACTCCAGTAATTTCGGAAGCCTCTCCAGAACATTACGCTCGGCCATTTCGTCCTTATTAGTTTGCATAATGGAAAGTTTTTTCAGGAATGTAACAGCTAAAGCTTGCAAATCGGTATTCTCACGATCCAAAGCCTTCTCCAGGAGTACAACGATATTTCGCTTGGTCATCTTCTCCTCGACGATCGGATCTTCGGCCATATTCAGCAGTAGGTAAAAGGCGACCCTCAACAGCTGCTCCTGCTTTCGTATTAAAGTGCGATACCGCTTCTGCCTCTCCTCACTCGACAGTTGCTTCTTTTCGTCGATACTGTCGGTGGAATTGGTAAGGTCGTCGTATATACTGCCCTCCATTGACGTCTTGATCGTGACGTCTGAGAAGTTGCCCGATTTTGGCCGTACTGCTTCGGGAATACGACTTTTATGTATTTCGGTCATGCTTACGCTGGTCGGGTACGGTCGCTTTACATCTTCGATGTCACACTTCCACTCTTCAAATCGGCGCATTTCAAACTCGATAATATCCATGCAAAGAGATCCAATCTATAGTCAATAATTGTTAACATAAATCATCATTCATTTATCACGCATATAGGAAATTGTGTAAAAGCTGGCATTTGTAACATTTGCATTATTGTTATACCTATTATTGCACACTGTCATAGTAACTTACCTTATAATGTAAAACGACAGGATGAAAACAAGTATGGGACGAAAAACAGAAGAATGTGAAGATTAGGTTTGTACTGAGAGCTATACTCCGTTTCCAATCTTCCCTTAGGACCCTCGCAAGGGCACTTAAAACTGTTTCTAAAAGACAGAGTAATTAATGTCAATTACTAGCCATATAAATTACTTTCTGTTTCTAATTGCTCCTTTTTTTATCTGACAATAACGTAACATACACTACAATAAAAGATTCACCCACTGAAGTTACACCTTGTACCACTAGTAAAAAAACACAAAACGTCTTCTACTTACTCAGAAACATTCTACCACAAAGTATAGGGTGGTTTAAATTCGTGGCTCACCATTGGGATTTCAGTAACGGTGAGAGATACAGTGTAGATTACAACGGAGGAAAGCTGCCCCTTTTTGGGACCAAAAAAACACATTTAAAATTTTGGAAAAATCTATGAAAATATTTAACCGAGATATCCCCGAAAAATTAAAAATGTCATTTTCATTTTCCTTATCTTAAATGATAGGAAATGGACGGTTCCAGTTCCCGTTCCAACAATCTCCTATGGCCACTTTCTTGGGAGAATCTGAGTCTGTTATCAGTATGTCCATAGCACGCTAGTTATAGAAGCTACAGGCTACTACTTAGTTCTTATGGGGGGCCATATTGGATGAGTCATCGAAAAGAGAAACAAATAATCAAACGAGCCTAATAAAAAGGTACATTGCTATTTAAATTCAATTGTTTTTCATTACTGATTTGTTTTATGAAATAAAAACAACTGAATGCTACCTTATTATGGGAAATAAAATAGTAGATGATCAAACATGAGTGGCAGTCAAGTCGCCTTTGTAAGTTGAAGTTTCCCACATAAACAAAAATTCCAAAGGTGACTAGACAGCAACTCACTTTTGATTGCAGGGTATTAAACAACTTTTATATAGAAAAATGTTGTATACAGTTGTTATTTACTGAGATATATACCTACTATATTCCATACATAATGCGCCCCTGTATAAACATGGTCACATTTGGATATTTTTTTGTAATTAATTCATACAGATATATGTTTGTAAAATTCATTAAAAACAATGAGGGGTATCTACTGTTACCTACATTTAACTGCAAGAAGGTCCCAACTGCAACTTTAACTAGCAAATGGGTCCAATTACCAAACAGAATAACAGGCAATTAGGACTACCTAACCCTATAGTTAAAAGTAGCAGTGTCAGTTAAAAGAAGCAGTTATATAAAGAAAGTGATTTATGGTGCTTCTACGCCTCTTGCAGAAATATATTACCATTACGTGCGAGGGACTCTAAATTTTCAGACACCTTGGCTAGTTGTAGTATGTATTGGGAAGCTTTAATCTTGTCAGGTAAATCTTCGTACAGCAGCTCTATATATTCATTTAAAAAATTGATATTTATAACATCACCGTTAACGACAGGCGTATTCTTTCCGGAATTTTCTTAAATTCAGAGTATAATTAAACGTGTAATTTCAAAGAGGGCTTACCGTCAGGTCCATTTTGGGGACGTTTACGTTTCTTTAAATAATAAATAGTTTGTTCAACTTCGACTAGTCTAGATGGATGGATTAGGTCACAATGTCCGAGTACCTCCCTCGCTAATGCATTACAGTCTGTGCGAGTATTCAACATTGGTAATTCTATAATTTTTTTTAAACTCTAAAAATGACACAGTTACAATCCCGAGGTGTAACATCCTTCGATTTACCTGTTTTTCGCCATATAAAACACTATCGTCGTCTCCTAGTATTTCGACTTCTAATTCGTAATTTAAAACAATAGCATTTAGGGTAGGGTGTACGTCGAGGGTTCCCGGTTTGCGATTTCTAAAAGTTTCAATTGTAAGTACTATGTAAATTAGGGATGGGGTACTTTACGTTCTAAGGAATTTTGCATTTTCGGGATCCATATTAATAAATAGTTTGTATATAATATAAATAAAATAGAGAACTATTAGTAAAAGACTTAATAGCACCGATAATACATTTATAATTAATATTAACATGCAATAAATAAACACAAGTGGAATGTCATTTTGTAATGTCAACTGTCAATGTCATGTCAAAACGAAGCACATGTCAAACTGCCCCCACCCCTAAACTTTTTGTACATATTTGCCACATCTACCACAGTTTCTAATAATATAATGATTTTTTAAATATTATACAATTCAAAAAACATGCAAAAACATTGAGTAGATGGCTATAGGCCTCTAACATTACACGCGACAAACGAGAGATGTTTTTAAAATTCTAATGTACAATTATACACATATGCAAGGGGTTGTAACTTGCATTCTTCATTACATCGTTGATGATCTTTTAAAATAGAAAATAAAGAATTGGCATTTTTAACTTCGTAATGATAAAGATACTGAACCAAGTTATCTTTCTTTGGCCTACACACCTTAAAAACTTTCAGCTTTGTCTTAAAATTGTAGGTCTTGGACAGAGCTGACACTTAATCCTGATCCCCTTCACCCTATTTCAAACTTTGATAGATTAGTTTTAAATGCAATTGTGGGTTCTTTTTATTAGTACTTTGATATATGCTAATTTTGGTTTGTCCTCATCCTACTCTGGCTTCCAGATCTTGTCACTATCCAGACCAGACCTAGATGGTAACATGGTCATTACAGCTTTGGGCTCAAGAAAAACATAGTTTTGTACGTGAGTAAAAATCAGTTCACATTCCTTGCATATAATCTGAAATAATAAACGTCCTTGTTCACTACTTATATTTTTTTTAAAGCAAAATTGAACATTTCATATCAAAACGTGTGTGAAATTTTCCTTATTCTTGTTCCTCCGCAATTGCATTGGTCATATCGCCTGCGTTCTTGGTCAGGTTTAATAAGCGGTCTTCTATATGCCTTTTACATTCTGCACAGGCATTTCTCATGGCAGCAATCCGATTTCTACAAGATGTACATTAGAACCGCGCATCAAAAATTAATAAAATATTACGCATAAGCTTTCAATTTGTTGTATTCAGCATCTGAAGGATTGGAAATGTTTAAGCTGGAATGCTGCGATTGCATTAATAGGATATCTCGATATTTGGTGGCGATATTGCATTTCATGTTTTCGCACTTCCATCGCAAATTTAACAGTTTTTCATTAACTTGTGGGGACCTAAAAAATTAGACCTATATACCTATTATATTAGGTGCGGTATCGTACGATCTACACTCATCCCTTGCATGTAATCCAATTTGACTAAGTTTTTCTTGTAGATTAGTAATTGAGTGCCACAACATACTGTGTCGCTCTTCTAAACTATTCAACAGTTTCAGGTCCGCCATTTCTTCACTCTGGTTGTTTATAGAATCATACAGTCGAAAATATTCATGCGTTTCTATTTTTGGATCACACTGTTTTACCGAATGGTCTTGTTGTAGCTTTGTCTTTGATTTCTTATGCGTAAGCTTTGGAGATGGTTTTTCTTTTTTTTCGTTTCTTTCGTTCGCCTTATTTTGGTAATTGTACAATAATTTGTTTCGTCGTTCCAATTCACCAAGTAAAGTTTGAAGGTGTGATTTTAAAATTTCATACTTTCGATTTTGAACTGCAGAACAATCCATCGTTATAATTTTTTCTGATCTTAAAGTTTATTGGGTATAGTAGAATTGAGGGATTTAGAATTTTGACGTTATTATGTGTTGCCAAAGTGAAATTTGATTTGGGTTGCTCTGATCTTTAGGAAATAAACAAGACCCTATATTGCTGTCATACAGATGACTGGTATTAAGACTGCATTATCTGCAAGGAACAGTACCAGGATGCGTACGCAAATTCTTCCCTGTATTTTACCCTAAAGAGTATAAAGGAGTCTATGAAATAAGTTTATTTTAGAGTATTATTTTTATTAACTAGATCGTCACTACCCTTATCGAACGAAGATTCATGATAAATAGTGGGTAGAGCCACCCATAAGCTGAGTAGCCTGCAGTCTAGGGTGGCAAAAATGTGGCACAATTATTACTTATAATTGTGCAAAGCGTGTCTTGTAAATTTATGTATTGCAAATGATTGAGTTGAAACACATCGTGCAGTATTTCGATTCAGACTCGTATATAGCAAACTCCCCATTCTTTAAAAATTAAAAAAAAATTAACTGGGCCCACAATTTTTAATTGCGGTACAAAAAAGTCAGTTGAAGCAGTTGAAACTAAACAGGAAAATGTTGCTTCAAATAGTGAAGTTGAATAAAACACAGACCTTATGAGAAAACAAAGGCACTATAAGATATGACATTAAAAATATATTCCTTCAGATCAAATTGAATAGCGAAATCCGGCTAGACTTCTTCATTTCTCAAGAGTTACTTGACAAGCACTGTATCTAATAAATATACAATGCTACAAGTTGTTATTTAAAAAAATGTCTTGCATCCAATGTCATCTTTCAATGACGTCTGAGGTAGCACCAATTGCGACAAATCGCCTACCTTGGCAACACTGTTGAGTTCATCCCAAAGATCTTAAAAAGTCAAAACAACAACTTAACCTTACTCCTTTTTGTTAATGATTGTCATATGACTCAATTAAATCCGAATAAGTAATAAACTTACTGCAAAACTCTCGTGATGTGCGAGGCGACAAATCCAGAAGAAAACGAAAACAAGGAAAACTTCAACACCGACAATGAAGAGGAAGATTTGGAACTTGAAGAGGACGAAGAAGAGGAATTAACAGCTGCAGGTATTTCATTAGCTCAGTAGACCTTTAATCGATTACGTTTCATAGAATTACTGGCACTGAATCACGAATTGGATGCGTTAAATCTGGCTCTTGACGAAATGGAATCAAAGAGAGAAAGCATACACACGCAACTACTAGAGTTGCTGGAATCAAATCGCGATATTAGAAAAGAAATTCAAGAACAGAAAGAATTGTCAGATTCCGTAAAAAATATAGATTTAGATTCTAAAGAAAAAGAGACCGAGTAGTTACACCAATTACGTTTTGTTACTTTATTAAGCACTTATAATTATAACAAGAAGGTATTTCACAACTTGTATATTACACTAATTGTTAATAAAATTTTTAAATGTTGCAAGAAACTGCAGTAAGTTACAGTTTATAAAAAAGCCACATTGTGTTTTCACAACGTATAGTTAACGATCTGAAACCCATGAACGTATTGGTGCATGTAATGTAATAAAAAAGCTATTAATGCCACTATTTTAAAATCAGTGGTTTAATTTTGTATTCACTCATAATCGGCAATTTAGCAAAATGTACCTGTTCAAAGTTGTTCTGTTATCAGCCCTCTGCGTGGTCTATTCAAAGAATGTCCAACCATTTTCGATTGATCCGAACGACCTCAAGGAATTTTCCCCAAACCTGTATCTTAATGTTAAATCATTTTTCAAAACGATCCATAAGTAGGTGAGTGTTTTTTGCTATTGTAAATTAATCCTGTTGTCCACAGAAAAGACCCTGAGGTACAAAGGCGAAGGCTAAATTACTTTTTCGATAACCAGTTTAGATATGTGAAGTATTACGGTTATTATGCAGTCCCACTTCCCGACATCGAAGTGAACTTTAAACATGTTTGTACCATTTCATCTTACATTGCTGTTTTGTTAGTTTGGCTAATTTACAGAAAGTTGAGGATACAATTTTAGATGGTCACGTTGCACTGACGAAAGGGGTGCTTATTGGTTTAGATTTTAAACGTCACAGTAATGTATCTTTGTCTTATAATTACCCGGTTGCGACCTTAGAGCTGAGCATCGGATATGAAAATCTTCATGTAATATCGCACCTTTTAAATGACTGTATAGGCATAATTTGCTTCTAGTATCTCTACCACTATAATACAAATTACATGAGTACCACTACACGTGGAGGTATAAGAGGGAAAATCTCAGACGTGTCGTACGACTTGATTTTAGATTTGGATGTAGTCGATTTGGATATAATTATTCAGAAATTTGAACCGACCAACTACGGGTATAATTAATTGCTACTATTTAACAGGTCTTCCATTTCTTTTTTAGGGAGGTCACGAATAGAGTTGAGGGTGAAGCGGCTAAATCCAAGACACACTTACTTAGTAATGTTACCGAGCCCATTATTGGAACTTATATACAGCCGATTTTGACAGCGTACACCAATAATATTACAACAACATTAGTTGATTGGTATAATAAATACCTTTCCTCATAAATAGTTAATTGCTGTTCCATATTACAAACTGCAAGGTCTGTAATAAAAATGTAAAACATAATAGGATTTTGTGTTCGCATTGAAAAATGTTAGATTTATTTATGTGGTTCGTATAATTACTTTGGGTTTATGGTAATTGAAATTTTTATCAGTCATTGTTATTGTTTTTAGAAGTGGAAACCCTTGTTCTGGTAGGAATGTTGTAATTTTTATAGCATTCTCGGTTGCATTAACTCTTTCAATGATCTACTTCGAAGCCAATTGTGTGAAGATGTCTTCATTTTCTACATTGACTTCTGTTACAAACCAGTAAAAAGATCTGGATATTCCATTCCAAGGGGTGGTCATTAAAATCTAAGGATTCAAATATAGCCAGATTATTACATGTAATTAATTCTATTGACCTATGACCTATGCCTACTTGAAATGGTATATACTTAGTCCTTTCAATTTCCATTTTCATGGGGAAGGTATATTTATTAAATTTGGAAGAAGTTGACCCTCTGGCATTCTTGTGTCAAATCAACCAAGGTGAGCTCTTCCGCTGGCAGCTTGGTGCGGCCTAGATGCATTGATACCAACTCATGATCTGTAGGGAATACTTCTGTATTGCAATTGTTTCTTGTTGTTATTTGCTAATGTAAACAACGGTCGGTATTTTCGACAGTAGTAGGTATATTTTTTTTGCTAAGTTTTTGTTTTTAGCAGTGTTAGTCTTGTTGGTTTCACACCAATTTCGTTGTTTAAAATTATAATAAATCCCCAAAAAATGTCTTTATGGTGGATAGTCCCAAAAAAGATATATATGTAAGTCATTTGCTATGATTATGCTATCAACTTCTAGGGTTATCTTGCACAATACTGTGTGGTGTAATAAAATAATAAAATTGCGAGTCATCAAAGCAAGTTAACATTGATCTTATATTCATATGTCCTCTTGGGTATGGTTTTGGTAAGTAATGGTACGGTGAAGACATTGGAGTTGTCAGATCTCTTCTTGATTAGAAAATTTCATTTTTGGAAAATATGCTCTCGAGCTAATCATATTCGGGCATTTTGAATAAGCGAATCTTTTAATTCCCACTCCTTTAGACCAACAGTATATACAGAACAAGTACATATCTCTTCTTGGTCCGTTTGGAATTTCTTTAACATCCACTTTTAAGTGTCTAAAGTTGTCATTATCTGTAAGATTCTGTACATGCGTCCTAATTTTATATACATACGTTGTTCCCATCCTAACTTGAATACATAAAAAGGTAAATCACAAAGTATGGAATCATTGCTTATATAAAATCAAACTTTATTAGAAGAGAATAGATACTAAACGTACTTAAACATGTATGTAAACTAACATCTAACATAGAAAACAGGTCATCTTATATGACACATCGACAGTTGCTCACTTGTGTAATAAAATAATCCTCGGAAACATTTACATTAGATGAAGTGAATTTACTTTTTCGACTTCTTCGACCTATGCCTGTCCCCACTGTCGTCTCGACTACGCTTTTTGTCGCTGGATGAACTTTTGTGGGACGAGGAATTTTTCGACTTAGACGGCGAGTGCTTAGAATGAGACTTAGAAGGCGAATGTTTCGATTTCGAATTGTGCGAGGAGTTTTTCGAATGTGACGAACGATGACCGTCCTTGCTACTGTTGTGTTTGTCTTTACTGGAGTGTTTGTCTCTGCTAGACGAGCTGTGCTTGCTTTTACTGGACGAATGCTTGGATTTGTGCTTAATACGTCCTCCTTCGTCCTCTATTTGTTGGTCGCGACGATCCTCTTCGGCCGCCTCACGTTCTAAATCAGACCAGTCCTTTCCAGACTCCTCATCGCTTCCTGTAATCATTTTAATTGAAGTTAGAAATTTTGCTAATCCCACCAATATAAAAAAAAATCATTCATGTTAGATATAACATTACATTTTATTTTTCATATATCGCCAAATAAAAGAGATATTAAGGTGTCCTCTTATCTCGAACACACTGTATTTTTGAAATCAGAGAGAAAAGATCTATTCAATTTTTGAAACCGGACATTCCATTACAAATTTATCAAATTTGCATCAGTTTTTACTAAATGTTTTTACTAATTTTGCGATATTCATTTGTTTTTTTTACTTGACATTTTCTGGCGATTATTTAGTTTGACATTTAATTACATCCTTCAATTATTCAGTGCAAATGAGATTTTCGCGTTTAAAAAAAAACAAGGTACTCACCCAAGTCTTCTGAATCACTGCCATCTTCACTTTCAGTGTCACCTTCCGAATATTCAGAATCCTCATCACTTTCCTCGGACACACTTTCTAAATCTGACGGTTCGTAAGCATCATCCTCCTCCTCACTTTCGGATTCCTGCGCTTGTTCTCCGTCCGATTCGGGATCCAAGAACGTCCACCCGCCGCTATCGAAGAACCCCTCCGGATCGTCAGTAATAGTCTTCATAATTTTGATCCAATTAAGTGACTGTACACCCTCCGAGTATCTGATGTCGCACGAGTTGAGCCACTCTTTGACGTGATCGAGCATGTTCATTGGTATGGCGTTCACCATCGCGACTTTGCGATTGTAATCTTTAAACACGAAAACCATGTCAAAGTTTTTCAAGTGAAATTGCACTCTTTCGAAGTGAACGAGCTCGACATCTTCGAGAGTGATGACGAAAGGAGGCCACTCGGTGAGATTTACTAGGCAGCCGGAGGTCGGCTGCAGTAAGACTGTGGATCTAAAGGGAACGCCCTGGAAACCCAATTCTCGGAACGGTGTGTCAAATTCGATTTCTTGTTTAGTCATTGTCTCCACCTAAAAAAACAATCGACTATCAGTCACAAACTTACAAAAGTAACAAAGGAAAAATTGTAAAAATAAGCCTATTTGAGTTCAGTTGCATTTAATTTCTGCAGGTTTTTTGTACGGCATAAAAAATATAATATACAAAATAATAATAATAATTCGAAGTTATAAAATAATGGGTTAAGTAAAATAAACATTTATCTTCTACATTTTCTCATACACAATTCCATTTAATTAGGGTATAGCTACGATTTTGGAAAGTTCTTAACAAAGAAGCAGAGGACTGTTTTTAACTATGAGGGATTAGACAGTAGGCACAGCAAACCCGGGTGGGTGCCGGCCCGTGTAGCGCAGTTCAGTGGAAGCTCGACTGCGGTACAGGGTCCCTGGTTCGAATCCGGGTTCGGGCATGGATATTTCTAAATGTATAGTGGGTTGGGTTGGTAGAGCAGCCTCGGCTGAAACCCCGCCCACTTAAAAATAAAAAGGCAAAATAAAAAAAATAAATAAAAAATTAAAAAGTTTGGTTCCAAATAATGTCGGATGACACAGTGCATAAACAGAACCTAAGACATGTGTAGGTAAGAAGGGCCTAGTTACCAACTACTGAGAGCTCTGTTAACTCCACTACTGGTGTTTTTCCATTCTGTTGATTTTAAAGAATAACTCACCTTCTCACAGAAGCTCTTAAAGGCAGTCTTCAGCTTGTGACGCAGTTCTCTTTCAGACTGTTCTGCAGCTAAATCGTCACGGTCGTGCATATGTTGATGTTTCCCCAGGTCAGTAGTAATCTCGCCCACCTCTGTATAGAATTGTACATCGATGTGCTTCTTTTTACCGAACATGATGGCGTGTTTCAAGTGGAAATGAAGCAATATGATCATTTCGCTATCACAAGGTTGAAAGAACGCATTTTTAATATTATTGTATAGAATATCGACTTTATCGCCTCGCACAGATGTGTATCTAAAACCGTTAGTGTGCGCTTCCAATGAGCCGGTCATGCGCTTTGTGACGATATTCGGCCGAATGTATAGATCTTTAAGTTTGGGATTGCCCTTATTCTGTGAGAGAACGAGAGTATCTTGCTTAACTAAATCTTCCTTCTCGCGTTCTTCGGCCTCGCGCGTTTTGAACTTGCGTTGAACTTCCTTAATCAGTCTAAATGCAGTGTTTAAATTGGACGAGGGGGGCGAAATTTCACCAGGCTCCTTCGTGTTGGTACTTCTATACGTTAGTTCCTTTACGAAGGTAGCATCCGACTGGTGATAGGCACCCGATTCGTTTTTACCCATCGTCGAGCCGGGGTGGAAAAAGTTTATACGTAAGTACGTGTAGTCGCCCTCGACGGACTGAGAAATATTTTTAATTGTCGAAATATGAAATGGGACGGGTATTCCGTACACAGGTAAAATAACGGTTTCATATTTTTGGTCTACGTACAGTTTCAATTCTTTAACTTCGGGAACACGCGGCATTTGACTGGTATTTTTATAGGAAACTGTGTTTTTGCGCACTTTCTCAACGTCCTTTGCACCCGATTGCTTGGCCAATCGTTCCTTTGCCTTCTCGTTCAGCATCATCGCGAGCTCCTTCTGATGTTCCTTGCGTTTGTCCTCGGATGGATGTTCCGAACGCAATTTTGACTCGATTACCGCCGTCCTCTTCCCTCTACCGAGTATTTCGGGTTTGGATGACTTGGACTTTTCCTCCTCCTCTTCCTCATCGTCAGTATCATCTTTCAAAAAAATTCCGACATTTTTTATCTTCTTTTTTGACATGGTTAAAAGCGAAGCAGGATTCCCCTCGTTCACCATAATCGTATCGCCGATAAATAACGCGTAAACTTTACCTTCCTTATCGGACGCCTCCTTGTTTTGTAAGTTATTGAAGCCTAAGTTTAAGTTGAAGACCATTCCCTTCTTTGCAAGCACTGTAGTTTTTGGTCCGATCAGTAGGGAACTTTCGCGAAACTCAATGCCCATTGCGAACCCGAAACTTTTTGTCAAATTATCCAGCAAATTTGGTTTCTCCTTCTTAACCAAATTGTATCCTGAATCGTAAACGTCCGACAATTTAGTACCTGCCTGCAGTTTTTTTAATACTTCCTCCTCAATCGTTAACAAAAAGTTGTAGTTTGCCTGTATCTCATCACTGGGATTGACAAGCAAGGTTCGAACAATGTTAGAACAATAAGACTTGTACCGAGCACCGAGCGAACATATAATTGCCCCGAAATGCAAAGTATTTTTATCACTGACTACACTAAACTTTAAATTATAGTTACCACCTGACTGTATAATCGCGGGATAGCACATATCAACTTGTGTGACGTCAACACCGGTAACATACTTCTTATCCGAAATTGCGGACTCAACCCCTTCCGCCAGTTTGCTGTGTTTCACTTTTTTATCTGAATCGATAATCTCCATTATCTGATCCTTGAGGAATTTGGTGAAAACATCCACAGTCACCAAACAAGCCTTTTTAATGGTGATAATTTCCATGTCCTCTTTTGGCGCAATTAAGTACGCGATCCCCGACGAAATATCGATGGTCGAGAAATCCTCCTTCTTAATCGCGCTCCTCCACAAATCCATGAATTCACCGGGATAATTATCCTTTGAAAACACCCCCAGCATTTTCCCATTTTTGCTACCCTTTATTGCGCCTATCAAAGTTTTGAAATTGGCGGCGTCTTTGTCGTTCCGATCTCTTACAAGTAACTTAATTCCGATACTGTTCTCATCTTTGCTGTTGTCTGCCTGACGGAGAAAATCAATTTTTTTCTTGCTGGCCAAGAAATAAACGGTAGATTCTGTGAAGACCATAATGGTATCTGTGAGCTCGTATCCCAACAACCATGTTTGAAGGGCGCCCGATTTGCTGTAAACAATTTCTTCGTCAACACCGACCGCCGTTACCAAACAATCCATTTTTGAAAAACCGTTTTCGCCGTCTTTGTTTTGCCATGATGCGTACAACTTTTTTAGTCGACGATAGAAAGTCTCCTTGTCCAAATTTATATTTGCCATGTGGAAAATTGCCTTGACGGTAAAAACCCTGCAAGAACCGCCAAAATTATGTTCTAAAGCTCCGCAATTTACGCATCGGTATCGTTACAAAGATGTCAAAAAATAACTAAATTGAGTGATTTCAGGGATACCAATGTACTACAGGGGAATCATACACGGTGTACAAACAATATCAACCAACTACCATGATAGTGCTTAATGCTAAACTACAACAAATTTTAAGCAGTACCTAGATGTCTTTCGATTAAAATACTGTTTTAAATTTATACCTAGACCTAGGGCACTAGTAAGCGCCTTACCTTGAGTCTATTGTCATTTATATAAGCGTTGAGGATTGTTCATCCATGATCGAATGCGCTCAATAGTCACCGTCTCAGGTCATTATTACTCTAACCTCAAAATTAAATTTCTAAAAATTTAAAGCACAAAAGTTTAAATTTGTTACATGGCCCTAAATAATAATGGCGTTAAGTCGTATTTCGAAATTTAAACAAATTTGGTAAACATCCGTCGCATCAAATATTTAAGCAATTCATATTGTAATTGTAGCCGTGAGGAAAAGTTGTTTAAGTTCTACACCAATGCGAGAACTTTTAGACGTCTTAATAAGGAAGGTAAAAAAGAAAAGTTTGAAAGTTTCGCATCGCCCTTTCAAAATGTTAACGTCGAAACTTCCAACATACATGTACGAAATCTGTGGAAACCGTTAGGATTTACGTTTGCTGTAATGTTCTAGTCCTAATTCTGTGTATTCTTCATTACTTGAAACTTGTAGTTCAGTACAGCATGTTTTGGTGGGGCCGCAGTCTGGCAATACGAGAACATGCGTTCACATGCTGTTACAATGCTTAAACAACCAATGGGTTATCTTTATCGGAAGAAGAGTGAAGCTCAATTGAAAGCAGTAAGAATCATTGTTTATTGCATTCATAGTCGACTTAGTTTTTAGGGTGACTGGCGACATCAATGTAATCAATGGTGGAACTCACTTACACCTGGAGAAAAGGTGTTTGTACCTATTTGCTTTTTAAACGTATTGGTTTTTGCGGCATGGAGGGTGCCCAGACTGCAACCAACTATGATACAATATTTTTGTTCGAGTCCAGGAAGTAAAATAGTCTGTTGGCCAATGTTGTTGTCAACGTTCAGTCATTATTCCACATTTCATTTATTCGCAAATATGTACGTGCTACACAGTTTTAGTACTGGAGCTGTTGCAAGTTTAGGAAAGGAACAATTTTTAGGCCTTTATTTAAGCGCTGGTGTTATTTCAAGTTTTAGCAGTTACTTATATAAAACCTTGATGAAACAACCTGGTTTATCACTGGGAGCTGTGAGTACTTTATGTAGAATGTTCAGCTTAAAATGGCTCTTTCTAGTCTGGTGCTATAATGGCCATCTTAGGATATGTCTGCACACAATACCCTGACACAAAATTAGGCGTAATATTCTTACCGTTTTTAACATTTTCGGCTGGCTCCGTAAGTACTTACCAAAATATCACTTTTCCTTAGTTACATTTTAGGCTATTAAAGTCATTGTGGGATTGGATTTGGCAGGTGTATTGTTAGGTTGGCGAATTTTTGACCATGCTGCGCATTTAGGAGGAGCTGCTTGCGGAATGTAAAATCTTTTCATTCATTTCCGTACTTAACATGTCTTTTACAGTGCTTGGTCTTACTGGGGTAACCATTATTTATGGCATAATCGAGAACCTCTCCTCCAATACTGGCATAATTTACGAGGGGCAATTAAATAACAATTGTTTTATATAGTATTTTATTCATATTACAAAATCCGTTATAGTTATTTATATTACAAGAGTTAATTGCAGAGATGCTGAGCGTGATATGCGACATGCTCCCCGATGAATGTAGCTATATAATAATAACTGTGATCGTAACCTTCCCTCATCTTCAATATTGTGGGCATTTGAGTATCTTTGCAAGTGTTTATTAAATTTTCTGGCAACAACTGACTTAAAAATTGGTCAGCAGTACCCTAAAATGCAAATGTAGAGAATAATTTGAAAAGTATTATCGTACCTGGTCAATAAATAGTTCCATAGGGTCTCCTTTGAAGGATTTTACCAATTCTGTTGCGTCCCACTGCGACCACAAACCCTTACTCTGTGGCCCCAAATACCCCTCCAATGCTTTTTTACCCCATGCACCTTGACTAGGGTTACATATTGGTGCAAATGCGGAGACGGATTTATATAAAGTAGGATTCTTCAATGCACAAACCAGAGCACCGTGTCCTCCCATACTATAAATTTCATTTTTATTAGTAGGTACACTACAAAACTATTACCTATGTCCCATAATCGACTGCTTTCCAGGAATAACGGGAAAATTAGCATTAACCACATCGATCAATTCGGATGTTACATAACTGTACATGCGATAGTTTTTATTCCACGGCGCTTCTGTGGCATCCAAATAAAACCCTGCTCCTTCCCCAAAATCCCACGAATCCTTTTCCCCAGGCAGATTCAACCCACGAGGTGAAGTATCTGGACAGACAATTATAACACCGTGCTCAGCAGCATGTCTATAAAAGATGGGGGTATACACCTTTCGTAACCAACAATTAAATACCTCTGTATCCCAGACTTTTGTATGCAATTCGCTTCGGTGCATTCTAGCCCGGATAGCCAATAAATTACAGGCGCTTTGCCTTGGTCACATTGTGGCGGTATGAAAATGGCAAATCTCATACTGCATCCTAATTCTTTCGAATCATGTGCGAATACTTTTTGAGTACCGCCGAATATTTTATTACTAGTAATTTTTGTAATTGCAGTCATGTTTTATTACTTAAAGGAGGAAATTAGAAAAATGAAAATACCGAGAGTGAGGTTATGGAGAGAGGGGAAAAATAGCGGTGCCTCTGGTATCCGCAATTCCAAAAAAAAAGTACCTATATATAGGAGTGAAACTTGCACTATTGCAATTTAGTAATTAGTAACCTTGGAGAAGGAAAGAATATTTTATACAATGTTAGTAATAACCTTGGAAAACATTTCCTGCCTATAGGTTCACGCTCAGTTTGTTATTTAAAACTGACATAAGCATAACAACTGTTTATTTTTATAAAAAAATATGAGCAGTTCGTTATATAGGTATTGCTTCGGTTGTTGCTGTATTAAAAAGGAAAGAAACAAAGACAAGGCCGCTTTTGGATTAGCCAGTGGCTTTGCCAATAATGAACTCACAAAACGAAACCATAATTTTGTAAATTAATTTTAAGAACCCGAGATTTATCATATATTAGGATGGATAAAAGAGCTTTTGGAAACTCCACCTATAATTAGTCCTAATATATTGCAGCAATAGTTGCATTTTGCATCGTCTAATACGACATTAAAAGAGCTTTATAAGCTTAACATTTAAGTGATAGGTACAATAACTATATAGTAATGAAAGAATTACATATAAAAATCTGTATAATTACAAAACAAATGAGACATATTTAATTATTAAAAAAATATATAAACATTTGCTCGCTATAAATAAATATGAAACACAATTATTACAAATTAATACTTTCATAAACAATTTACAAAACAAAAAACAACTGCAAATTTAAAAGCAATTAATTTATAAAATCTTTTAAGTATATGTAAGCGCAATTCATAATACCCCAGCTGAAAAACGATCTAATTATGCTAGCATTTACACCATAATAAAAATTTCTAACGGTCCCACCACGGTCACGATAAACTTGTGTAAAGACAGTAAAAATGCTCTTAAACTTTCCACCTATTTGACTTTGCATAGAAATTTTAACTACGTTTAACGGAAAAAACATTGTCGACAATAAAACGCCAATAAGTGCACCACACAAAAATTCTTGTATCGACTGATTCAGTACTGAATCTGACTTTTTCATTCGCATTTGAAACTCGTCGCGTAAGATAAAAAAACATACATTTGAAGGACCATTTCTCAAAAGTATTGGGACTAATCCTCTGTAATATTCACGAAGTCCATACTGCACCCCTATGCTTTGAAAGGCATGAAAGGTATTTTTAAATCTTTTGTGATGCGATGCATCGATTAACACTGTTTGAATTCGCTCGAAAGGCATAAGAATTGCTTCAGTAGAGCCGGCAACCAATCCAGCGATAGCTTTGGCATAATACGGATTAATTCTAGCTTCGTCCATTAAAGATCTACGTACTTCCTCGTAAACACCAAACATGATGGAGAGTGACAATGTTTTTTGCATAAGCGGCGGTAACATTCCCCTGTACAGGTAGAACACTCCCTCCGTACGTAATTGGCTAAATGCATTTTTTATCGTAACACCTGAGAGCATCTAAAAGCTGCACTTTCAGTTGATTAATGTGAAAGGATTGCGACGTACCTGACGTAGAATGATCTTGTTGATTGGATACGTTACTGTTATGTTTACACATGCGGCTCCCCAGCCGCAAACAAATTCTTTCCAGCGAACTTTCTTGAGGCGGTCATTTACGATTTCTATTGGTCTCGTTACTTTCGGCATAATGTAAATGGAAATTTGAATTGAAAGAGGTTATGTTATGCAATAATTTTTTTTTTTTAATTAACTAATCGTAGATAATTTGGTACAGCTAAAAAAATTCCTCTCATATACACCAAGGTGTATATGTCGAAAGTTAAGAGAATTCATCTCGGTTATTTAATAATTTTTATCAGACATTTTTCAGACGTACGAAATAGGTGGTAAAACCAGCGTTGCCAGTTTAGTGAATCATAGTTGTGTTGAAAAATTTTCTAATGTAACACACTGTACATACCCACAGACAAAATTGTTTCTCCCAAGAGAATTTAATGTCCTTTGTTTATCCAGACAATTTTACACGTTTATTTGGTAATTTACACAAAATGGGTACAAAAAAATAGGTAAGTAAGGTTGATTTTGTAATCTACGGTCTTCAGTTTTTTTTAAGCATCCTGTATATACCCTAAATTCCCCCACTCTGTTATCGGAGATGCTTATAGCGCCAGAATTTCAAAGCAAAGCCGCCAAGCCAATCGGGTGAGCGTCATTTCCTGTAGAAGCGTTGGTAGTGGCGTGTGTTGTTTGTTTGGCTTTCATTGTAATTTACAGGTAAATCTTATAAAATCTTAAATAATCCTCTTTCAAAATTAGTAATCAGAAGGTTACGTCCATTCGTATTGATCTTTGGATGTCTTTCTTTTTGTTATTTTCGCGTTATTTAACGTACTTGTCTTGATCAACAGAAAAACATAAACATGGCCGATGCTGACGATCTTTTGGATTACGAAGACGAGGAAAATCCAGAACAAAACTCCGCCGAAACACCGGCAGCGACTGAACAGAAAAAGGGCGTAAAGGGTACCTACGTCTCAATTCACAGCTCCGGTTTTCGCGATTTTCTGTTAAAACCGGAAATATTGCGCGCCATTGTTGATTGCGGCTTTGAGCATCCTTCCGAAGGTGTGTTTGACGTTTTCCCGCCATAGGCTTCATTGTCGAATTTTAGTGCAACACGAATGCATTCCTCAAGCAGTATTAGGCATGGATATTCTATGCCAAGCGAAGTCCGGTATGGGAAAGACTGCAGTATTTGTATTAGCAACGTTACAACAGCTAGAACCCACTGAAAACGTTGTGTACGTTCTCGTCATGTGTCATACTCGCGAACTGGCCTTTCAAATCAGTAAAGAATACGAACGGTTTAGTAAATATATGCCCACAATTAAAGTTGGCGTTTTCTTTGGTGGTCTGCCCATTCAGAAAGATGAAGAACTATTGAAAAGTAACTGCCCGCATATTGTTGTTGGGACTCCTGGTCGAATTTTGGCTTTGGTCCGGTCGAAAAAACTTAACTTGAAGCATATAAAACATTTTATTTTGGACGAATGCGATAAAATGTTAGAATTGCTAGGTGAGTACCTTAGATTGAATTGTCCGACAATGAACAGAGAATGGACATGGGTAGTCAGTATCTTTGATGCTCATTGTGCAAATTTAAAATGGTTTGCGGACTGTATGTGTCTACTGCAAATTTTTTTCCTACAAAAAACCTTAATACATTTTTGCTCTAAAATAATTTGGGGAGCCAATAATCGCATGTTATGAATTTTACATTGAAATCCCTATGATGCGTTACGCAAGTCACCACCCTGTATAGCATAGTACTGCAATTTTATTTTACTGGTAGTTGTTATCAGTGGGTGGTTTTGAGTATTGCATCAGGTCCCAATACGTCTTTCAAACACTTTCATATTTGTCCATTCTCTGTTTATTGTTCAATGAGCACTTTCTTTGACATGATGATAACAATAGGTAGGGACAACTGAATTTGTTGATGTAAACGCCTATGCTGACTTTAGTAACTTGCATCATTCTGAAAGTTTGTGAGAATCGATTTTAATGTTTGGGTATTTTACAGATATGAGGCGAGACGTTCAAGAAATATATCGCAACACACCTCATGGCAAACAAGTAATGATGTTCAGCGCCACCCTCAGTAAAGACATTCGGCCGGTTTGCAAGAAATTCATGCAAGATGTAATTGATACTTCTAATCAATTAATTGGATCCCACGCTCGACCACTTTACACTTATTAAAATGGGACAATAATATTTTTGCTGGGCATCACACAAAAAACAGTCATTGTGGTCTAGAAATTTCTGTTTGGCCGGCTGCAGTGTTCAAAATTATAGACCCCGACACTTAGCGCACTGCAGCCCCACGGGCAGGTCGTGTCTTACTCTTTTGGCCGTGCAGCATTGTTGTAAAATTATTTAACGTAAAACCATGTAGCGCAATGCTGCCCGACGTGTAGGGTTCTGCAGTGTTTTGACACTGTAGCATGGAAATCAAGACAGAAGACTAATATTAATGAGCTACACTATTCCTATTATCTAAAAAAAAATGTTGGATTATTGACTGGTTTGCATGGAATATTATTGGGCATTTCTGAAGTGGATTGCAGCGTTGGGATTTTAACAACGTGCATATTCTGTAACTGTATGTACGGTAGCTTAGCGTCAATTTTTCTAAATTTTTGCTTAAGTCAACTGATACTTTTTAAAGGCATGCATTGAGCCCCTCGAATCTTTGGCAATGCGACGCCAAAGGTCTATTAATTTTTTATTTTCACAGCCAATGGAAGTTTATGTTGATGACGAAGCTAAACTAACATTGCACGGATTGCAACAGCATTATGTTAAGTTGAAAGAAAACGAAAAAAATAAAAAACTATTTGAATTGCTTGACGTGCTCGAGTTCAACCAGGTAATACGTATATGCTCACCTCATTCCCTTTGTGCTAAACATTCTGCATAGGTGGTTATTTTTGTTAAATCTGTTCAGCGCTGCATGGCTCTAGCTCAACTTTTGACAGAACAGAATTTCCCCGCGATTGGGATTCACCGAGGTATGACGCAGGAAGAGCGTTTGTCTCGTTACCAACAGTTTAAAGATTTCCAAAAGGTATAATTCGATTTTTTTTCTACAAACTTTTTAAATTGTTAATTTCAGCGTATCTTGGTGGCGACAAATTTGTTTGGGCGTGGTATGGACATAGAGAGAGTGAATATTGTATTTAATTACGATATGCCAGAAGATTCCGACACATATCTTCATAGAGTCGCTCGCGCAGGGCGATTTGGTACCAAAGGTTTGGCTATCACGTTTGTGTCTGAGGAAAGCGATGCAAAGATCCTAAATGAAGTTCAGGATCGATTCGACGTAAATATTACCGAGTTACCGGATGAAATAGATTTAAGTTCTTACAGTAAGTATTATTGTAATGCTAATTTTTCTGGTTTGTATATGATGATTTACTGAGCTGAATTTTTCTGATGAAATTTGTATTTTACTCTTGAACTCTCTCACTGATTATTCTAATTTTGATATAATCGATCTGGTGTGGTTCTTTACTACAATTTTGCTTTTTTGTTTCAGTTGAAGGACGATAAACTGTCATTTAGTGAACCTACTGATTAGCTATAAGGATATTTTAGATACATTGTGATTGACATAAGTTGTCCCTGTAAAGATTGACTTTTTTTAATGTGTCCGTTTATTTTTGAATAAAATTAATTTGCCCTTGGATTAAGTGCTAACTTTTATCCCAATACTGCTGTGTCATTGTATCCTACAACTTTTATTGTGAATGTGTGTTTCTGTAGATCCATACAACCCTATTCATGCTCCCATTATATTGTCCCACCTCTCCTTTCATGAGCGGTGTCCCTTATAGTGGGTAGATGAATCCTAAATACTTTCTAATCCGAATCTGGTCATCCAGTATTGACAAAAGGAACATTAATCTCTTTTTAAAAACTTTGTAAGTCCTTAATAAAATCGTTCTGGTTAATAAAACATTGCAACTAGGAATGGACGATATTGCGTTTTAAATATTGATAGTTGTTAACATCGAATATTCGAATATAAAAAAAAATTTGTTCTGTTGCATTCAATATGCAGATTCAACATATCGAAATTCAAATGGAGTGTTTCCTTTTCTGTCGGGCAATAAAGGAAATGGTTTGCTTTTTGATAGGGAAAGAATGTCTAGGATGTCGATAGTAAAAACGATGGCATTTGGCAATTTGCCAAATTGAAGATCTAGCACAGAGCTTGATCGTCTTGCTTAAGGGATGTAATGAATCGTCAATTGGGTCCATTATGTATAAATATTTGACGCGTTCAAACACTTTTTTGTCTAATTTCTGGAAACTTGCCGAGATTAAACCCTTGACCACCATAGTCTCAATAATCGTTGCTATGGATTTTAAACAGTCGAATTTGACGTTTGGTGCGACTATAATGGCTGTATGCACCGTAAAAATTTAAGCTAAGCCTAGCTTGTAATCCATAGCATCCATTGTTCTAATAATCGTTACCATGGATATTAAGCTATATTTAAACTAAGCTCGGCTTAAATTTTTACGGTGCATACAGCAAATAATGAGGTAAAAGTTATAATTGGGATTTGGGACACCCTATATAGTATAGTAAATGGTTACCGTTGCCGGAACTCTCTACACCTCTGACGATAACAAAACAACCATAAAAAATATATATATACGCAGTTTGTTGTTGAAATCATATTTTTATTAATTATTTTGTATCCAAGGAAAACTCTACATCTAATTTTACTAGAATTTTCTATGAGAAACTTACCCAAACTCAACAAGAAAATATATAATGATATCACCTGAAATATGGCACTTCAAAGCGCCCAATTCACTTGTTAAAGTTGAAAAAGGGAACATAAGCAAGGGCAACTGCTTAAATATCGTTCAAAAGCTTCCCTACAACCATTTAGTAAAAGTATACTGTCGTTAGATCTCTACTAATCTGTGTGTTGTAGGTGTCAGTTGTTTTACCGGACACTCTCAGAGTACCGCAAAATTTGTTTGATTTACTTAAAGCGGATTGCGAATATTACAAAGTATCGAATATTGGTCTAGAGGAGTTGGTCAACATAAACTTTATCAATTCGTTTGTGGGAAAAGGTACTTGCATTGTTTGTGTTCTTTGTGTATTACAACAAAAGGTTTGTAGGTACGTTGGTATCGTTAAGTATAAATAGAAGGATTGATTGCGAGGACTGTGCTTGTGTGACCCCCAATGGTTTGTTACTGTTATCATTAACGAAGGAGAGCTACGAGACTTTGGGTTTGGAAGGAAGAGCGTCTCGTTATACTGTCAAGCAACGTTATAGTAAGTTGTGATGACTCATTTGAAGTTGGCATTAGTATTGCGGCTGTAGATTTGCATATTTAATGGGAAGTCGGCGAAATGTGCAAACCATAAATATTGAGAAAATCAAATATTTAAAAAAATGAATCCTTATCGTTCCTTCGCTGCACAAATGCTGTAACAAAAACAGACTGGAGGGTGTGCTCAAAATCAAAACACTGATACGTACATATCTCGAACTAACTTGAAAAAAATGTGCCAAATTATGAAAAAAACGGCTTTCTAGCTCAAACTAAAAATCACACTTTTGAAATAGTGCCTTCAAAACATGGTAAGATTAGGGAAAGAACGTTTCACACAAAATATATAAGATTACAAAACTGATAGTTGCAAAATTTACCGCAACTTGTAAAAGAAAAATGACTACTACATTCCAATTCATTTCTCATATGCAGGTGCAGTTAAACCCCAATAAATCATTCCCCAAACTGATCTTTTCTAGGGTAAAATGCTTACTTCAAAACTATTGTATATAACTCTGTGTTTATTATCGTTCCGTTTCGAAATCCATGTCTGTTATTTTTTTTTTATTTTGTTTTTATTCTGGCAAAAACGAAATTTACCATTTAGTAAATTAATAATTCTAATTAGTTCGTGATAGTGGGTAAATTTTTTTCCGATACGTTCTCTGGTAAATATCTACCTGGGGCCAATCCCCCTTACGACCTCACACCCTTTTTTGGTGGATTACACTTACACTTATAATTTTCATCACAACCTACAATCTCTCAAGACGATTATAATACATTTTTGTGTAAATTGCCATTTCTCAATATGTAACGTCTTATATGGATTGCATATTTTTGCACATTCATGACAGAATTAGCTAACTTAAAATATGCAAATCTATTGCTGGAATGCTATTGCTAACCTCATGCGAGTATTTTAATACGCAGTAGAAGTAGGGCCGTTTCAGACAGTGATGGCGTGTGACATCCATCATTTGTTATAGACAATGCCCCAACATCGTGCCGTACAGACGCTACAATCTCTGAGCCTACAGGGTGTGGGAATGCTAGTGGTCAGTCTGGCTCCTCGTATTTTAGCCGACGTACGGATGTGCTCGGAGCCACAAAAGGGGGTGGCGTGCCTTAAAAGAAGCTTAGAGCATGTAGAGCAGCTGTTAACGTGTAACATACCTTGCTATTTATACGATTCGATGGCCGTTCAAGTTTTGCGTGCCGTCAGAAATCTCATCGACAAAACCAAAAAGACCTACGACCAGTTTGCACCCATGTCGGTTTTCCTGACCGAAATGAACGTCGTCGTAAACCTCACGGAGGTCGTGCTCAATCAGAATCTTAAACAAATTGATTTCTCGTGCTGGCCGAAGATTATGCGATACGTTCTGTACAAAAATGTACATAAATTGACAGGACTCGAAGTATTAAATTTAGGATCGTGTACTGTCGGTTGGCATACGAGTGATGGCGATAGGTGTATACTTGACGGTATTGCCGATATGAAAAATTTACGTTCACTCTGTTTGTGTTTCGATTGTAGTGATAGTGTCATTCAAATTTTGGCCGATAATTGCCTACATTTACAAAGCTTAGATGTAACGTCGTCACGATCTGTTACCGATCGCAGTGTTGCCTATTTGTTAAAGTGCAAGGAGCTGCGACAGCTGCAATTGCACCGTACCTCCGTTACTGTCGTCGGTTTCGCGCAGTTGCTTGTTGGTCTTCCAAAGTTGCAAGATTTAGGGCGTTGTGACGAATTCGGTGGCGTCGTTAAGTATGTGCATTTAAATTACACAAACACTGGCCCTTTCGGCTTACGGAAATTGCAAACACGTGATTTGTCGACTGAAAGTTTGCGATTTCTGGTTGCAATGTGCCCGAAAGTTGAGCACGTCTGCTTGTTTCACGACGAGAATATAACCGATTTTACAATTTTGACAACTTTGGATAACTTGAAAGAGTTGAAGTTGTCCTCGTGCGCATTCTATGCGCATTTTGTTAAGCAGTTATTAGAAATACGGGGATATGGACTGACTAGTTTACACTTGGAGCACGTCGAAGAAATCGATTTGAACGCGATCATTCACATAAGTCAGTGCTGCCCTCTTTTAGAGAATCTAGTATTGTACAACTGCGATTTCGTCGATCAACACAGCTCCTATTCGAGGTTGAAAGTAAAACCGTACCAACACCTAGAACGTGTGTTTTGGGTGGTCGATTGCGCCGTCAATCATTTAGAGTTCCTTTTATCGCATTCTGTTAATATTAAGTTCATTCATTTGGGTTCCTCAACAGGCGTTACGCATTCCTCCATTGTCAACATACTAAGTGTAAACCCGATGAGGCATCTCGAAGAACTGAGAATTCTGTACAGTTCCGACATGAGTATTAGGACCGTAGAGTTGTTATTAGCTAGCTGTACTAAATTGAGGGTTTTGTCCGAATTGGAAAGTTGGCAGGGTATTTCGATGGACGAATTGAAAGCTTTTCGTCAATACATAAATTCAAATAATTTCGATTTGGATATTAGTCCCACATTGTCCTACTGACGCAAGTTTTTCATATAAGACCGTGTCTTATATAGGCTTTCCTTTGTTTTATGTGATTTTTGTTGTGACTTTTTGTTTAGGAGAATTATTTATCTTTAGTTTATGGGAGTAGTGTGTGGTATAGCAACCAGAATGTGTCTTGGTATGCCACAATAGCAAATTTTTATAATCATTGCGTAGATAGTATTTGTGTTTAGTGAAAGGAAAGAAATTCATTAAGTCCATCTCACTATTTCTTACTATTAGTGAGAACTTGTACTGCTTTAAATGTGTTTTTATCCTCCAATATATCTCACCACTAGAGGTTGGTTTCACAAAAGTTTGTTTGTGACTAAAAAAAATGGCGGGTTGGCGCGTGGCTTCCAACTCAACATGAAGCTTGTAATTAATTAATTATTATTATTTAAAAAAAAAACTAGGAGGAATGTAAGATATGATTATGATTGATTATTGGGATTAAACTGGGGTCAACAATGTCTATAGGGTGGTCCAAGTTGGATACTTTCGTATGGAAACACCCTTTACTTTAATAACAGATAGAAAAAACCTATGTGTCTGGAGCTCAATTTTAAAAAGAGATCACTGGCGAAAACAGAATTCAGCTGTCTCTAATCGTTTGGCTACTGGGGGGTGTTTCTCAAATTTGGTCGATTTATAATGCTCTAGAACTTGCTGTTAAAGATAAGTGATTTTCGCAAAATATTTTTTATGTAGAATCCATCACAATAGACAATTTTAATACAGAGTGTGCTGTTTTCTTACGGACCACCCTATATATTTTGGAATTTTTGAAAAGATTGTGACAAATCCTAAAATCTTGTTATATTTATATTCAATATTATTTTGCAATATTACATACATTACAGACATCGAGGTACATACATTACAATAGATGGCAGGATTGTTTTAAAACTACAATTTCTTGAATATTTCGAATTTTTTATTAGTTCCAAATATTTTTAATTTCACATAACACACAAAAACAATGACTCAAGGGCCTCTTTTTTCTAGAGTTCTGGTTGAGTAAGGTTCAATTTATTTTATATTAGACTGTACAGTGCGGAAAACTACAAAAAGGGATACTTTCTGCAGCTGCTGCGCTGATGGTGGTTAAATTTGATTTAAAAAAATACATCTTAGATCTTCCGCCTCAAATTTGAGTGCACAAATTTTTTGAGCTGACATTATCTTCGTTGAGAGGAACTACAATTGGGCTGGATTTGAACATTTTCAGAAAATAGATCAGTGATTGTATGTAATGGTATAGCTACCATTAGATTCAGGAATTTTAATGGCCACACTTTAACACCACAAACTATTTGGTGATTCCAAGGCGTTTCAGGATTAACAGATCTAGCAACCTCTATACAAAAGTTTCTATAATATGTGGCATGTTATTAATATTTCAGGTGCGGAAACGTTGTTTGCATTGTATGTTTTGACTGTTTGTCTGGTGTGTTGTACAGGGTCCGGCAAAATGATCTCTCACATTTTAATCTGTAATAAAAACGCCATTGTAAATGTTATATAGATTTTGTCTTTATTAACTGAAAATGTATGCTATGCCATTTGTTTTTATTAAGTTTTGAAAATTACAGAGTCCAAATGGCGACCATTTTTTTCGATACACATTCGAAGCTGATTTCTGAAAGTTTCCATCACTCAATTTCAATTTCAGGTGTCCGGACACTTCTGGGTCTACCAGTTGATTTTCTTTTTAAGGCTGAACCTGTAACTCTAAAATTTTAAACCCACAACAGTATTGTTTTGCGATCTGGAACTGGACCATGTCTACCAAGCGCGAAGTGAGTACGAAATGTTCTTTGCGTCGTAATCACAGATTCGTTACTTTTCATAAACGTTTCAATAACAAAGGCACGATGCTCACCCGTCCAATTCATGACTGACAACTGAAATGGCAAGGCCAGAGCTACCAACCGACTACACTAAGCTCCCCCTCTCTTCAGTGATTCTGGCACAGTGGCGGTGCAAAATGTGGGAGATCATTTTGCCGGACCCTGTATTTCAATGAATGGTCACACGTCGTGAAATAGTTCCTTTTGTGCAACCAACCTCGCACAGTATAATTTTGTAATTATTTCACCTCTTCTTGTAAACTGCACTTATTTAGTTATTTTTCTTTGAAAAAGTGACTTAAATTTTGTTACTCCGTAACGACAAGTTTCACTGTATATACATACCTAATCGAAAGGCATATAGGATTTATTTTTTTAAATTGGCCATGTACAGTGTAATGACACTTGAGTTTACTTACTAAATTTTAATAATTATGTCATTTTAATGTTAATAGGCTATCGTATACTAAATCATTCACTTTTTATAACGAACGTATCGAACAAATATTTTTCTCCCATCCGATTTGATCAGCCTCCCCCCTCGTACAATTAAATGTAAATTATGTATTTAAATAATAAACGTGTGTGCGATGAGAGCATTTCATTTTTAGTTGTCTCCATCAATCTCTTAAGTAACCACTTCAAACCGGGGAAGAGAAATTACGATCGAACCAAAGATCGTTTGCGTACAATGCAAAAAATGACTATGCTCGTCAACTGGGAACCGCCGAGCGCGAATGTGTGCCCCTCGTCAGTCGCGAAATATTTTCACGATCTAAACCTCGACGTTGAACTTTGCGTTCCCGATTTTTGTACGCGGACAAGCTACACGGTCAAAGTGCCGGATTTTACTGTAGACGAGGTCGACGATTTCATCGAGTGGCTTGGCGTGTTTTCTTTGGAATCAAATCTGGGTGGTGGAGATGAGTATTTGTCAGCATACGAAACGCCCCAGCCACATCAGGAATATGGGCAAGTGAAATTTTTGCAATGGAGAGGATTTTTCACCAGCCATCAAATAAGAAAACTGTGCGAATTTTTGATGTAAGTTTCAGTATGATGCAAGTCATTTGTGCTGACTTAATTATTTTTTAAGATCTTACGTCAAGGATCAAGAGAAACCGTGGGTATCTATTTATGTGCAAGGATTTTCAGATTCAGTAGTTGGCTGGGATTTAGAGGAACATCATTATTACACCAATGGGGACAATGGCTATGTTATTGTACTAAACTCAAATGACTACTTGGTGTATCGTCAAATGTGTTCTAAGAAATGTTATAAATAGTAAATATTTGCTTTTGTTAATCCACGTTTAAGAACTCAAAACGTTCCCCATAAAATTCAATTTATTCAAAACATTTGATGTTATTTTTCAAATTCCAGTGTGAAATTTTTTTGAAATTTACAAATTATAATTACAATTTCGTTAGGATTTGTTACAGTGTTACAGAACACTTAACAATGAAAATGTAATAATTTTTGTTTTTCTATAGGTGGGGATTTAAATGCTCCTTATGCACATTCTGGAACGTTCCAGAGTAGTGCGAGGCTCTCCCTTCGAGCATACTCTTAATAATTGTGGGTAAAAATCAAACTTGCCACCCAAAGTCACTTTCAAACTACGGTCATAAGTTTTAAAGTACCTTGTATTCGTTGCATGCGTTTCTAGACTTGGCAACATTGTATTCTCTTCAACCTTTAACATAACCTCATTCTGTAAGTTCTGTCACGTTTGCGTTTACCCAAAAGCTAAAATAGAGAAATTTTGGCTTTTAAAAATGGACAGCTCGCAAAATGTAGATTACTTAGTAGTAGATACAACGGGATTTATTCAAAATTCACCTCTGCAGGTATATTTCTAAAACGACACATCTTAAACGTAATTGCAATTTTCTAGAACATCGGTAAAAACATTGTGACATGCCAAGAAGTTGTTAACGAAATTACAAATAAACGACAGTTGAGAAGGCTTATAGTACTGCCTTACGATTTGAGCATTAAAAATGTCTACCCAGAAAGTATTCAGGTCATAACAGAATTTGCGAAAAAAACTGGAGATTATCCGTGCCTATCAGCCACAGATATAAAAGTAATGGCATTGACTTACCAGTTGGAAAAGGAGCACGTAGGGACAGACCACCTTAACAACGAACCAATTAGGCGAAATGTAAATTTCATGACCAAAAGTCAACCTCCTCCGGTTAAGGCAGATGTGGTGGGCTTCTATGATCCCAAAAACAAAACCGATCATAATCCAGACACCTCGGTGGAACAGGGAGATGATGACCGGAGTGATGACGAAATTAACAATTTGGATGAGTTGGACGATCAACTGCTAGAGAAATTTCACTCATTGGATTGTGACGATATTGAAAACGAGGATGATGCAGAAAACATTCTGGTGTCTATCACAGATCAACCTGAAGGTTCACAGGAGTCAGATTCAGATGACGACATTGGTTGGATTACACCCTCAAACATAAAGAGTGCCAAGAAACAGTTAGATGGAGAAACAACAGAGGAAATCTCTGTGAAAGTAGCATGTATAACTACCGATTTTGCTATGCAAAACGTTTTGAAACAAATGAATTTGAATGTCGCCACCTTAGATGGAAGAATGATCAAACAATTGAGAACATTTATTTTACGCTGCCATGCTTGTTTTAAAACGACAAGCATTATGACAAAGATTTTCTGCCCAAAATGCGGGAATAAAACCCTAAAACGAGTGGCAGTAACACTCGACGAGGAGGGAAACCAACAAATCCACATAAACGCCAGACGTCCAATTACTGGCAGAGGAAAACGATATTCTCTACCTACAATTAAGGGCGGAAAACACTCCAATAATCCCCATTTGGTAGAAGATCAGCCGTTTCCAGATCAGCAGCCAACGAGATTAGCCAAAACGAAGACAAATCCATTAAATGATGATTATATTGCCGGTAAATCATTAGTCTTGAACGCCTAACATTCGCCAATATGTATTTTTGTTTAGGTTTCTCCCCATTTGTGATGCGTGATGTGACATCAAAGTCAGCTCAACTCAAAATTCGTCCACATTCAACAGTTAAGCATTGGATGAAGAAAAATCCAAATGAAGCTTTTCGGAGGAAAAAGTAGTTGCATAAATAATCTCCTTTATTACAGATATAATAAAATTTTATTGATTAAAGTTTTCTTTAATGACGGAAGCTCTTAAATAAATTGTATTGATCATTTTGGAAAGTACAGGGTGAACTGAAAATGGTGAAAATGATATTTTTAGTATTCTTTTATTAATTCATTAATAGGGCTCTTTGTTGATTGTATATGTATGCTTTATAATGACCTTATAGTAGTTTCCAAATCTTTTGCAGATCAAAGGCCAGCATTTCTAATTACAATTTGATATTTCATACGCATGGATGTAGTGTTCATCTGCCTGAATTATTTGCCTTTTTGAATACTTTCTGAACTGTAACATTCCATATCTGGTGATATTAGGTTTTGATAACAAATCTTGGTGTGTACATAGAAGAGCTGAACTTTGGCATTCAATCCTTAATGAGGAGGAAAGCTTAAGGACGGCATACGAATTAAAAAATTGAACCAGTTATGAAATGAGGCAACTATGATTCAGCTATTAAATATCAGAGGTCGCAGCATGTTTTAAAATCGAAAGATAGTGAAGTATTATCTTTGTAGTAAATAAATTGTGCTGCCACATCATGTCGAGTAGGTGGTACTATCTACTTACACAATTGGTTTGTGTATACTCTAAATTTAATTACTTTTACATGTTGACTTCCATGACCTTGTGCACATTCCTTTGCTTATTTTAAGGAGATAAAAAACAGCTGGTTGACATAGATTAAATTACATTTAAAGGTACACGCAAAAACCGATTATGCACCATTACCAGAGGTTATAATAATTCGACAAATTCAAGGCATGTTTTTTTGTTCAAATACCTAGCCCTTCTGCTGTCGCTCTGCAGTCGAAATCGCAAATAAAATTTTTGACGTTCATTTGTTAATATTCTTATAAATTCTTTGACGTGGTGAATTTAAAGGATACATAGGGGAATTTGCTTTATTTACAAAAAACTGTTTGTTTTTGTTTATTTTGTCATACCTACAATTTGTAATCATTATTTTCACTAATACTACATACTATGCGATCAAAAAAGAGTGTTGTCGAGCAAGCTTTGGAATTTTTGGTTACCCAGAAAATCGGCGATTCGATTGTCAATCCTTTTTTGATCGCTCCTTATATGAAAAGCTGGAGAAATCCTACTCGGGGTTATCGGGGGCGTAGAGTCCATTTCTGCCCTCGAAATTGACAGAGGATGCCCAGGGGCGGCGCTACGAGGGCGCAGTGAAGATCAAAACTAACCGTGCCGAAAAAATCGTTACTCGGGGCAAATCATATTTTTTACTGAAAATTCACCCCCGCCCCCATGATCTCTGCCCCAGAGCATACCCGGAGAATTTGGACAGTAGATCTGGTCTCTGCGCCAACGAAGATAATAAATGCATTTTTGCACCTCTGTGATTTTTAGGAAATGCACGTCGTAGGATAGACATAGGATAAGGGCAGCGTTACACAATCGTGTAAAATTTCCAAACGGTTTTAACTACCTGTCTTCTTTTCCGGAGGGTCGCCCACACACATTCAAATCACAAATGTCATTTTATCTTAGTAAACGAGAAAGGAATGTTGGCATAGGTCGCGTTTATGTACTCGTCTTTAGACAAACAACAATTCATTGTACTCAATGACATCATAATCGGATGCAGCAGTTCCTTTATAATATTTTTTTACAGACGCGCGCCAGGTTGTACCTTAGCGACATCTAGAAATAAATAGCTGCACTACTGCTGCTTGCCGCCATTGTGATTGATGTAACTTTTTAAAAATGAAATCTTTGAGAATGACTCCTGGCCACAATATTGGGTTTTAAATGGCAAAACTTTCAATATTGAAAGAGGAGGAGCAGTTTTACAGCGACTGTACTTTAAAATTCAACAATTGCTTAAAATAAAATATAAAATGTGCCCTCTTATTTTAGCAATATTGTAGTAATTACTGTCTTTTTAGTAAAACCTTTATACAGTCGCTCTAGAGTAATGTATGTAGAATTTATATTTTCAAAAACCAGGCTAAAAAATGATTGTATAAGCCCAGGAGTCATTCTCAAAGTTTGATATAATTTTACAATGCAATTTGTCAGTGGCGACCTCTATTGGTTCTCATGAATAGTATGCCGTCCTTAACTTTTCTCGTTTGTTTTTTTATTTTTACTCGAAGGTGTATACTGGAGTGTTATGGAAATTGGAAACTGTGAGAGTTTTTATGACGTATGAACAAGTGTATTGGTAGCATTGAGTGTCAAAAGTAGCGGAATAAAAATCACTAAAAAAATTTAGTGTTCACTTTGACGTTTAATTATTTAATTCATTTACAATTATTTACATTAAACAATTAAAATTATTAGTGCGAATTCTTTTCTCAAGCAAAATGATTTACCGTGACACCCCTTCAATACCATAAATTGTAAGATACCAAAACACGACTTTCCTCGGTGACTAATTTATTTGTAGTCCAAGATCTCCACTTCCAGAAATGCGTATTGCAATAATTAGTCGAAAAAGTGTCCTAGCTGGTTCTAAACTTCGTCATTTGAAACTAATTCAAGGTAATTTTAAACTAAGTATAATTAAGTTTAGTAACGTCAATGGATACTGAGTTTAATTTCATTATCATATTAATCATTATTATCTGATAAGAAAGGTAATTTATCACTGTTTTTGCTAGTTCAAGCTGTAGTGCTTGTGCTTCCCTCAAATATTATCATTTTTTTAAATTTCCTTTTTTCGTACAGATTTCCGATGATCGACAGCTGACAAGCGATGGCTCAGGCTTCGGGGACCGCACAAGGTTACCATCAGCTCAGCATAACAAGTATGTGCCTCAAATTTCAATTCAAATTAAATTGTGTTTGTTGACGCTCTTTGTCATTGTTGTAATCCGTAGGTTATTCTGTTTTTGCACACTGTAAGCGTGCTTAAGTCGTCAAGTATTTTACAAGATTAAACTAGCGCTTATCAGATACATTATCTTACATCACACATTAAAGAGGTTTAGTCACTGGCGGTGTCTAATATTTAATTGCTATGGAAACAGTTTCAATTTCAAGGTGGTTGGGTTTTACCATTCTGCAAAAAAAGTACAGGATTTGCCCATCATAACGAACTACAATGTTTTGAGTGTTTTCAATTAAAAATGTTGTACTCTATGCGCATAAAGGACATCAACTGTCATGTAACGTAATCTCAAAAGGTGGTCTAGGAGCAGGGTTTTATATTTGTGTGCAGACGTGATAGGGTAAAGAATGGATGATGTTCAGCAACATCCACGTCAAAAGGTCACTTAGTTATTTTTGTCAATTAATTCATTCATTCAATGCAATACTAAAATTGCAAATGATTAGCACTAAATGCATTGAATATTGTTCGCATCAGTTGTATTTGTGGTAATAAAACATTCCCATTTTTTTATTTAAACAAATTTTTTTGCTACAATATAGTTAGGTCCAATGGCAAAAAGTACCTTCTGAAATGTTTCATGACAGTTTGCCATGAATGCTTTTGTTTCATAACAACCTACAGGTCTGTATTAAAAAAAAGTTGATGGCCTAAAAAAAACGAAACGAGACTTATAATCTAATATCTTTGAATGTATTTGGACTTCTGTTACTTTTTGACTTCGAGAGATGCAACATTGCCTCCATTGAGTAGACTTGTATCTCTTAGGTGACTCTCACACTGAGGCGATAAGCAGGAAGCAACTGGCATAATACGCAACACGTAATATTATGGCTGTACCTATTCTACATTGAATTAAATTAGAGGTCTCACATTGGAGCAACTAGCAACTGTCAATAAGCAATACGCAACATCATCTTGACATTATTTGTCACTGAAGCAAATATTGCATGTGGCCTATTGCCAGTTGCTCATTGCTTATCGCCTCAGTATGAGAGCTGCAGTTTCCCAATTACCCTAGAATTACCCTTTTTTCATTACTAGACTGCTATCAAGCTTGTCAGTGTTGCCAAATTTACAAAAGTCACTTTCAGTTGAATGCGCCCATCTGCGTCCGAACGGTTTTCTAAAACCGAACCCCTACGTGGAATTCACGGTCGATGGGAAGCACGCGCGGCGCACCGAAACCGTAAAGACCACATCCCAACCGAAGTGGAACGAAGTATTTACGGTCCTCGTGACGGCCAGCTCGAAATTAGTCTTCAGCGTTTACGATCATAACAGTTTTCGAAAAGATTCAATTATAGGCGAGAAGAAGTTGGACCTGTCGCAGCTGCTCTCCCACTATAACGGAAGATGCGAAAACCTAGAGCTGACCTTGGACCTTATGTGCGAGAATAAAACTACCGATTCGCCGCCAAAAACCGGCGAATTAATAGTCGTACTGGATGGTTTAAATGTCGAATTGAGTAATCATAATAGGCCAAGTAGTAGCTTTATGCCTTTAGCTCAGACAAATAGTGATACGCAACCAAATAGAAGCCTTCTGAATGGGGTCAGAGCGAGGATGCGATTGCATGGAAGCGAAAATGTCGTGCCGCCACCTTCGCGGACGGCCATGGATCGTCCAAGTCTCATGGGATCTCCACAAAATAGTGCCACTGTTCTTACAAACGGTAATTTATATGATATGCGCGGTTTCGCATGACAAAGAAAATTCTTAGGCACACCTTATCCTGATGCTACACCACTGGGCCCTCCAGCTACAGTTCCTAGCAGTAATTCGCAGACGACTGCGGATGAAAGTCGCACCGAGGAGCCATTGCCACCCGGCTGGGAAATGCGATATGACATGTATGGGCGTAGATATTATGTTGATCATAATACTAGGTATGTAGCTTATTATTTTCACCATTGCATAATGAAACACCCTGTATATGTTGCAAATTTTTTTGTTTTTCTTTAAAAATATTTAAAAATAAATGTTTTAAATCTCTGTCTTACAATTGTAAATGCGATTCTAGGTTTAAATAATTGATAATGTATTAATGGATTATCAATTATTAAATAATCATTCATCAATTATTTTCTCCCACACGCAGGCGTTTGACAAATAAAATAATTTTTTTTTCTCTTAAGAATCCTAATAATATTTAATATCCTAACGCTTTACGATAAACAAGGTCCACTTAACTGCACATACACAAATTAATTAAATTTTTAAAAAATCGACTTAAGTTTCGCCCCACGTTGGGCGCCAAATAATCACACACAAAACATCCGTCCTGAAACAAATCAAAATTGAAACTTAGAATTTTTATAATGTCTTCTTGTACAAAGTGTTTCGACCGAAAGAACGTTTCCATGACGTTATTTACACAACAGTATTTAGGGTGTGAGAATTCTGTAATTTAATTTGCTTGTACTTTTGCTGTACATGTAATTTATTGGGGACATTAGATCAACATCATGGGAAAGACCTCAACCTTTACCCCCTGGATGGGAAATGCGAAGAGATGGAAGGGGGCGAATTTATTACGTAGATCACAATTCGCGAACCACCACATGGCAGCGACCGAATTCCGAACGGTTACAGCATTTCCAGCAGTGGCAAGGACAGCGACAGCACATTGTTCAACAAGGTACCAACACTGCAATTCTGACAGTAGTCTAATTCCTGAATTTAAGGGAATCAAAGGTTTCTGTACCCACAACAACAACCCGCCCCACAAGGTCCGGGTACGTCGACCGCAGCAGTTCAAGATGAGGACGACGGTTTAGGACCTCTACCATCCGGATGGGAGCGCAGAGTTCAACCAGACGGACGCGTTTACTTTGTCAATCATAAGAATCGGACCACGCAATGGGAAGACCCGCGAACCCAAGGTCAGGAGGTGTGCGGCGAAATGGACGACGCGACACCTTTACCCGCCGGTTGGGAAATTCGCTTTACCGAAGACGACGTCCCTTACTTTGTAGATCACAACACCAAAACGACCACGTTTCAAGATCCTCGCCCCGGTGCGCCCAAGGGCCCGAAAGGAGTGTACGGCGTGCCTCGCGCTTACGAACGATCTTTCCGGTGGAAAATTGGCCAATTCAGGTAAATCCCATTAGACTGCAGAGGTAGACTTCCTGGCAAAGGAGGCTCTTCTGTTTCAAGTAAAAAATTATGTTTGATAGTTTTCGTTCGGCTCCATATGAGTATATCTCTGCAGTATTAGTACTGTAGTAAACACCATATACGGGTACTAAACTTTAAATTAAATTTGCAGGTATCTTTGTCACAGTAACGCGCTACCTAGTCACATCAAAATAACGGTAACAAGACAAACCTTATTCGAAGACTCCTTCCACACGTTAATGCGACTTCCCGCCTACGAACTGCGAAGACGGCTCTACATAATCTTCAAAGGTGAAGAGGGATTAGATTACGGTGGCGTCAGTCGCGAGTGGTTCTTCCTCCTTTCGCACGAAGTCCTCAATCCGATGTACTGCCTGTTCGAGTACGCCAACAAGAACAATTACAGTTTGCAGATCAATCCCGCGTCGTACGTTAATCCCGACCACTTGGTCTACTTTAAATTCATCGGGCGGTTTATAGCGATGGCCTTGTATCACGGACGGTTTATTTATTCCGGTTTTACGTTGCCGTTCTACAAGCGGATGTTAAATAAAAAGTTAGTTATGAAAGACATTGAGAGCATAGATCCCGAGTTCTACAATTCGTTGGTGTGGATTAAGGACAACGATATCGATGAGTGCGGCCTCGAGTTGTACTTTAGTGTCGATTTTGAGGTGCTGGGGCAGGTTGTGCATCACGAACTGAAGAAGGGAGGTGGGGAGGAACGGGTCACCGAAGAGAATAAGGAGGAGTATATTTCCATGATGACCGAGTGGAGGATGACCAGAGGTATTGAGCAGCAGACGAAAGCGTTCTTGGACGGGTTTAACGAGGTCGTTCCCTTGGAGTGGTTAAAGTATTTCGATGAGCGAGAGCTCGAGTTGCTATTGTGCGGTATGCAGGAGATTGATATTGATGATTGGCAGCGACACACTATTTATCGACACTACACGCGAAGTAGTAAACAAGTGGTGTGGTTTTGGCAGGTAAGTAGGTACTCAAAAGTGTAAAACTTTGTTACTCCGACAAAGTTCTTGTGGTGTAAAGATGAGCTTTAATTTGTTAACTAAGACGTCACATATAGGAGATAATGGATTGTTTTCAATTTTACTCCGGCCATGAGTTAAAGGACGGATCCAGAGGTTTTTGAAGTATCTTTAACAGTTGAGAACTTCTTTTCTTTTCTTCTTTTTCTCGCCCACATCCTAAATCCTATTAAATAACAAAACCAAATTTTATAACAAAAAAAGCATTCCATTTGTTTCCCAATCCCCCCAAACAAGACTCCCTCCAAAATTTAATATGCCAGGAGAAGTTGTGCAAACCTTTTACCTGTCATATAGTTTTTCATCAATCAATAGTGCAATTTTTTAAATAATAATTAATAATAGTAAATAACATACCTTCTTACAATATACAAAATCCTGACATCATGCATTACATACACTGCACTTATAAGAACATTTTATACGAAGAACAAAAAGATTGTACCAAGTATTCCAGAGGCCGTAAAGAGAAACTCATTATAAATTCTGAAATACTTGAGTAATCCAGACAACAAACGAAACATACACACTGCATACATTGATTACAAAAAAGCATTCTATTCAGTACCACACTTTACAACAAGTACTCTCAATATACAAAATCGGCAACAATATTACACAATTCCTCAGTTACATAATGACATGTTGGAACACTTAACTAAACGACACAAAACTTAACACTAACACAATACAAATTAAAGAGGAATTTTTAAGACGATTCTTTAAGTCCAGTTTGGTTTTGTCTTGCTTTTAATCCACTTTTATATTTGATAAACTCAACTAACCTTGGTTACATTAAACATAAAAACATTACCTTCGAACAATTGTTTGACCTTTTATTTCACTCTTTAATTTGATTTCGTGTTGCTGTTGATTATTCCTGTTCATATTGTCTTTTATCTTTCAATCTGTTCATTCATCATTTCACTATACTTAGTTATTAGTAAGGAGTTATTCTAGTATAATTTTGTTTTCTTTCGTTGTTTTGCTCTGTACAAATATTCTTTGTTTTGTCATGGTGTAGATTAAAGAGCAGCGTTTTGCTGAATCTATGCCATGAGGATTTTGGAATAAATATGATTATTATTATTATTATAACCACAAAATACATCACATTACACAGTTGTTACATAGACGATCTTAAATTTAAATTTGAAGATGGTCATCATGTTAAGCATTAAAATGTCGAAAACTTTTATTCGTGTCATTTTGTCGTATTTCTAATAACGATTCTACAACAGCTAAATGAAAAATCACTAAATCTGTTTGTCTCTCATATCTAGTAGACTGTGGATTTTTTTCAAAAAACAAAGGCGTATCTTTACCAAGCTCTTAAAAGGACAACTCTTTCCTCATTTAACCACAAGCATAACACTTAATCACCTTCTACACATCACCAAAACATTTTCACGTAATATACAAATGGACCCACCATACTACAAATACATTGCACAGATAATCCTGGAAAACAACACACATAAATAATAATGAGATAGGACACTATTCACAGACAAAACTATCCACAATAATAGACCAGACATTACGCTTATAGATAAATCACAAAAATCCATTTGCATAATAGACATTGCCATTCCCGACTTGACTAAAACTAATGCAGAAAAACACTGCTAATACATTGATATAGCTCTAAAACTCTAGAACACATACAAACATTTATAAAAAGACACACAACAACAACAAAGCCGCGATAACAAGACTTCGTGTCTAGGATGGGGGTCTACAAATCCTACGCAGATGTTAACATGTAATAAAATTGAACAAATAAATAAAATACAAGGCGATTATTTAAACAAAATTAACAATTAATAATTTTTCATACAAAACTCAAAAATTCAACGATTTTTTCAGTTTGTTTGTCAAGCGGATAACGAAAAACGGGCCCGCTTACTTCAGTTTGTGACCGGCACGTGTCGCGTACCGGTCGGCGGGTTTGCCGAGCTGATGGGCTCGAACGGTCCGCAGAGGTTTTGCATAGAAAAGGTGGGGAAGGACACGTGGCTGCCGCGTTCGCACACGTGCTTCAATCGGCTCGACCTGCCGCCGTACAAAAGTTACGACCAGCTAGTCGAGAAGTTGAACTACGCAATTGAAGAGACTGATGGTTTCGGCCAAGAATGAGTGGAAGTCGGCTTGTACCTGATTTGTGATTATGTTTTTTGTTTATTCTCTAGCACCAAATATAACGGAAGAGTTTGTTGTATTACTTATTTTGTAGCGTATTGTTGGATTGCAGGTAAAGTGCTTTGTGTTATTTTTTTATAAGAGAGTGCAACTTTTACTGGCCTATTTTCGTAATGAGAATGCACTTGCGATCACTTGTACTTTGTGAAGGTTTGGCCTTTAAAACATGCACGTTATTGTACACCAATATCAAGTATTTGTACATTTTTGGGTGTGGTACGCTGTCGGACTATAATAGATAGCTTTACATTCCTTTTATTATATTTATTATTAACATTGCAGTAAGTGCAGTCTCTTACTACATACATTTCGCTAATATAAACCAAAGCTAAAGTAGAGTATTGTTTAATAATAATGCAATAATAGATACTTGTCGTTTGCAATCGTTTACAGATTCTCTATTTTATTATGCTTCTATTTAACAATTTTATCACACTGTGCACTATTGTATATTTGTAAATGTAGAACAACTTGTATATTTTTAGAAACCAGTTTTAAAAAGTTTTACTTATTTTTGAATTGGCTCTATTCTTTTTATGTGTAAATAGATTAAATTTTTATGTACATACATCAATAATTAAATTATGTATGAAAGATTGAATACAAATGTTTTTTTTTCACACATTTTAAACTCATTGTCCCATACTGTTCCCGCATTTTTAATGTTTAGCTTGCTCTAAGCTAAAATCTTGTATTTTGTAACCTACTTTTTGTACCTATTCCTTTTAATAACTACCACATAAACAAATTATATTTTACAAAACTAGTGCATTTCACTAGTTGTACAACTTTTGGAGATATTTCTAAAACGTGAATATGCGCGATAAATTAATTACACGAAAACACCACATTGTTGGCATTGCAATTTTAAAAATGGTACCGTACTGCATTGAATGTGCTTGTTGAAAAAATGCGTTTCGCTACTCTCGTCTTATGGTCGTATCTTGGGTTACCCTCTGGATTATTGTATTCCTGTGGCAGTATATTACACCCGACCCGGTATAGTAATTGAGTTTTAAATTAAAGCGCAAGTTCAAAAATCGGAATTTCTATTTTATCGCTTGTAGATTTAATGCCCGTGGGCATAAAGGAAATATTTCCTCTACGCCATGGGCCAGTTCGATTGGCCCGCGCATGGTTTAAAAATCCCTCAATAGACACCTAGCTCGAGCTAGGAAGCTAAAAATTAGTTCATTTTTCAATATTGCTTAAAATTTGCCATTGCACTTTGCACGTTCTCATTGTGGAGTTAAACATAGTATCATTTACTGAGCTAGTACCTACTCTTATTGCAATACTTCCTCGCTATAATGTACTTTTCCTAATTTTCATGTAAATAACTATTAAATGAATCTTTAGAAAAAGGGGATAAAATGTCAGTGTTTACATATAAATGTCAGGAAAATGACACATTACATGGCGAGGAAATATTGAAGTACAAGGCTCCATCAGGACGCAGAGAAAGTAGTCAGATAACGAATTACTACCACCATCATGAAATAGTTATTTGTACAACTAGAGAAGAAAGTGGAGTTTTTCAACTCGAGTTCAAAGATCGAAAGTTGAAAAATACTTTCTTCTCACGTTTTACACATAATTTCTTTTGAAAATACAATCAAAATTGAAAAATTATGTGCAATAAATGAATAAGTTTGGCACACAGCAATCTAGATACAGAAGTTTTTCAATTTTAAATGTCATGATTAAGATTAACGCAGCAATTGTTTTTTACTTTCCTCACTAGAGAGGAAAATCACATTTTCTTCACCCTTTTTGGAGACAAAAGTAGTTTCAGAAAATAGTTATTTTCATAAAAGCATTGTTTAAATACTTTAAATAAGTACTTTGGGGCCGAGTACTTTAATTTCCGAGTCAAGTAGTGTCATTTTACTGCAATACGTTTTGTATTAAATTTTACCCGAAATCGTATTTTAGTATATAAAATGTCAATTTTCATATAGAACTTAATAATAACAACTGTCTTAATGCCAATCTGTCAGTGGTGACAGTAGTCATTACTTCAGCACAGTGACAGATGCGGCCGGAAAAGTGACAGGTGCGGCTGGTAAAGTGACATGGGGCAGGAAAACTAATCTGATCTCCTCTGTTGATACACCTAAAGTGTCTGTCATGACGATTTTGGGTAAAAAATATCAAAATGATTGCAAAACATGAATTGGAAAGTCTATAAAAGGCAACTGCCGACCTTCCTTGACTATAGCTGTCTATTTTTAGCGAAAAAAAGTTGAGCAACATTTTTTTACCCCTCACACACTTGATAAACTTTCACGCTTATTGTTATTATAAATCTTATACGTTTTGTTGCATTTTGCTTCTTGATTAGCGAAATTTAAAACATGAATCTCAGTTGATTTTGACCGGAGATCCAAATTTTTAATCTTCATCCGATTACGATGAAACTTTGGGGAATTATTGGACACATACCCGCGAAGATTTCTATATAAATATCAATTGTCTGTATGTATTGTACCTATGTCTCTTATGCCTTCTAAACATTCATACGATGGTGATGAAACTTTGGGGAATGGTAGTTGGACATATGCCCGCAGTCTTCTATGCTAAATAAAAACTGTCAGTACGTTTGTCTGTATATAAAAATAAAAAAAAAGGGATTTTACGTTCTAATATAGTCTGAATTTTATCGATACTTTGACTGATAGGTAGGCGGTACACGGTTCGTCAGGTCTGCTAGTTTATTATATGAAAGTTTTGTAAAAAATTTATTGCTCGTGCGCAAACCCAAATTTTTTTAAATTTATGAATGAATGTGCTTCGTATAAAATCAAATTAAAATGTACAAAAAGAAAGGTTTGGGCATGCGCAGCACATATATCTTATTTGTGGACTCTTTTTTCTGAAATTTTATTTGAAAAGGGTAGTAGTGAATTGAAATCACGTGTAAAAAAGGGTTTGCGCGTGCGCAGGTAAAACTTTATTTGTAGGATCACTGTTTCCAAAATTTTAGTTTACGATGAATTAGAATCACATGTGCAAAAAAGTATGCGCAAAGGCGCCCTTTGAGTAGCAGGCGGATTTTTTCGAAATTTTTACAAATATAACGGTTCATCATCATTTTTGTCCAATGGCTGAAACGTTTACGATTACTTTTATAACTTGTATTTCTTTTCATTGCTTAGTCTTTTAGTCAAAAAACTGTCACTCTTGTGTTTATAATAATGGTTTGATCAGCGAGAAACTGCAACAATAGGGTCCTCTGTTACTGAAGTCCATCATTCACTCAATAAGAATTTCGGTTGAAAGTGTGTTAGTGGTGACCCCTGACATGATTTTAAAAAAATCTAAAATGATTAGGTACACCAAGGTCATGTTTAATAGTTTTAAACAAAAAAATAAAAATAGTCACAATTTTTTTTGCTCAATCAGGAGTCATAGCTTTAGAAACTTACCTCGGCTCTTGGAAAAAGTTTGGGTTTTTCAATTGCAAAACTTTCACGTCTATCTAATGTGTGTATTATACACAAGAAACAATTTTTGTTACACTTAAAAAAATACAAAAGTAAATCATTAAATTATATTAACATAAACAAACAAGTTACTTATTAACACATAATTTATTTTTCATTTAACGGTATAAAACTAGATGCAGTAGCAGTATCTTCCGTCACTGAGCTTGGAGATGGTGGCATAAGGTTAAGGCGTACCTTGCGCCCACCTGTAGGCATTTGAGCTACCTTATACGGTAATAGTGAACCAAAAAGAATATGTTGAGCTACAGGAAATTTCCCTAAGACTTCGACTTTGTACATTTTTATCAGTCCACCGTTAATCTTTGTCCAGTTAGAAACCCCGCTTATTCCCCACAACTGATTTGAATGCTCAGCAAAGGGCCCTGTCTTTACTTGATTGATGTACTTTATGCAGGCTAGAAATAAGTAGTCGTGATGATACGTTTCAATTATGTTTTCGTCCAAGAACATGGGAGGCTCGATTCGTGGGTGAGCTAAAAGTCAACTATACTTTAACATAGACGGGTGAAGGGTAGACTTACCGATTAACTGTGAACTTCCCCAAATAAATGGAACAAATTGATAATCATCAAGGCTCCATACTCCGTGACTACCGGCAGGTTCCATACGATAAGTCTGTTGCAATTTTCTTACTACATCCATGTACCTATAACAATTACAGTTACTGTACCAATTAAGGATTAACTTACTTTGCAAAAACTTTACAAGGTACTGCCACTTTATCCGAATCTACCAGAACCCCAATTTTAAACAAACAGCAAAGGAACATTATGAAAGAGAGTTCGTGGCCAGTTCCGTAATCAATTCGAGTTGAATTACCAAAACCTTCAGTTAGGTAAAATACAATTTCCGGCACTGCACGATGTAGTCTTTCGGGAACAACACTTTGTACAAGATCAAAGGCTTGCTACAAACTTACAATGAGAACCAAACTGCGCCTTACATTTACGTACGTCTTTTAACTTTCGGTACCAATCCCTAAATGCATGGTTCCCATACCTTTGAGGCTGTTGTACTGGTGGTGTGTCGTTGATTAATTTATTTAACTTTTCCAACATTTCTAGAAGATTTAAAATCGCCGGGGACAACTGAACAGCTTTCAGGCTGTTTGCCTTACTGCGAATCGCTTCGTTTAATGCTAATACAAACCCAAGGTACTCCTACAAGAACGAATTCGTGACAGGACCCTCACCACATTCACTTACGTGATACGCCTCTGATTTCTCCCATAGTTGCATATCTTCGGGTATTCTTATACTTTTCACGGGGACTATAAATTCGTGATCTTCACCAACTGAAATCGGAAACTTGTGACGAAATATGAACAGTGTAATCTTACCGATTAAATCCGACGTCCTACTGACATCGTCTCGTGGGTGCGTGATAGCTTTGCTGTGAAACATTCCCGTAATTAAAATTATTAATTAATTTGTTTTGGGTAAATTTGTATTCGGCACTTTCAGTGTTTTTCAAACATTTTCAAATGTCAACTGTCAAAACCGCAATTCTCGTGGGGTATAAAAAAATTCTCGTAGTCTCAAACATTTCTTATTGTTACAGGGATTTAAAATTTCTTCGCCCAAGAAAAATGTACCTACTCATTTAGTTCGGTGCTTTGAGTTTACGTCATGTGTCCCCTGCACAGTGTTAATATGATTGATAAAGATTTCACATATTTATTCGATATTCATTCGATTAAATTGGTTTACCCAAGGGAAATGATCACAGTGCAGTACTACCTAAAACCGTTGAGTGAAGGATTTTCTCTCAACGCTAAAACTAAAAGTATTGAGTGAATCATTATGCAATGATACACTCATGCTATTATAAGAGACGTACCTATAAGTAGGAATCTATCTCTACACGAGCATGAATTAAACGCAGGACTTCAAGACTCTTTAACAGCTTTGCGTCATACATTTTGGGCATCGCCACACCACTTTTTCAAAAACTAATTGAAAATTGCATTAAATGCTTTCGAACGAGGCTTAGAAAAATTCCGCAAAAAGTGGGACAACCAGTGAAACCTTTTTACATCACTGGTAAAAGCTCATTTAACGACAACGATGGGTGATATGCAAAATTTAATTTACCCACATAAAGAATTTTATTATTTGCTAATGCTAATAATAGGTAGGTAATATAGAAGTTCCTTCTTAATTCCTCACCACACTTACCTACCCCTATTTCAAAGGATCCTTCCGATCTTAATATAATATACCTTATAGGTACCATTGAATAAGTATAATTATAAGACTTATTCAATATCTAATTTTAATAGTAAGTACCTACATACCGACTTATACCTGCATTTAATTACCTATAGGGTAATCCCTTTTTTATACCTATGGAAAACTCTCATAACGAATTACCAATGATGTTTTATCACAGTTGTTGTAAATAGGTATATGTAAAAAGTAGTGTATAATTGCCTAATAAATACATAATCAAATAAATAGGTACATTAATCTACTATTCAATTCTCTGTAAGTGCGTACTTATTAATTATCTACGCTTTCGAACGCTCTGCAAAATTTGCGTGCTCATAACAACACCAGGAATCCCCAACGAATACGTGCTCAGTCCACTTGAAAAATGTTTATGTTTTTGACTATCAACATGAAAACATTTTCCACTACCTCGATTTAGCCAGTCTCTATTACCCTGGGCACTACCATCTTCGGGTTTTGCACAAGCTATCGTAGCACCACCTTTCGCGATTCTGCCACAATTTCCAAAATACGTCACCCTATCAACGTCCATCAACGGTCCCAACTTGATCCGACCATCATTGCCATTATAAGTAATTTCTCCATCGCCACCGGAAACGTCCACGCGACAAGAATTACCAACAACCTTTAGCCTTCCATTATTAACACCTATGTGTATTCGGCACTCGTTTCCTATCACAGTAATTCCCGCGTTATTTTCTTGTAAATTAATGACCAAATCGTTACCGACGTACTGTTTCGATTTGGCTCGCGGTTGACGCGATTTACCATCGCTGGGTATTGGCACAACCATTTTGGCACACTTGCGTTTGGTAAAGTGAATAAAATCTTGAGAGCGGGAAATCTTTTATATTAATTAATCGTAAAAGAGTGGGGGAAGATAAATATCTGAAGTGTACCCATATCTACACCACATCCGAGTGGTAGTGGCCCGTCGATGTGACATGTGCATAATGGAAGGTCGAATGGGGAATCACGGTTATTTACCGAACGATGTTAATTTACTGGAACATTATTACGAATAAAGTACCTATCTATTATCATCGTTTTGCCATTACAAAATCCAAACGGTTATTTACACACAGAAATTGAATCGATTAACCTTGATCTTCCCCGTTAAAAAACAGGTCAATGAATTAAAACTAAACGAAAAAATGTAGCTAATTTGGTACTTAGGTAGGTATATAAAAATGCTAACGTTTAAGTCAAGTTGTTTTCTCGGCTCTACGGGGATTCCAGGGGAAATTTTTGTATAAGTAACGGTCCCTTTTTGAATTTATTATAATTTGTTTTTTAAATATTGCCTAAATGTGTTACTATATATGCGGTCTATGACAGACATTATACATTTTTGTTATTAGCCTCATCAATTTTAGTAGGTACCTATAGTTTAAAAACTGTTTTGCATAAATACCCAGCCAGATAGCAAGTGATTGACACAGTTAGAACACACTTTGAGGTTTTTCCATGTCAATCTTACACATCTTCGCATTGGGGATTCCGTTTCTCTTTGTATTCATGTGAAAAACTACGCCTTTAGGTACATTGTCTTTGCCAAATCCCATTCAGTAAAAGAACTTAATATTTTCCCAATTCAGTCCAGTCTGATTAAAAGGTGGCGGGAGACGAAAATCGTCATTGAAAACACAGAATCAACTGACGTGTGTAGGTATCTGAGATTTCCAGGGCGATCAATTTCATCAGGACAAAAATCCCTTCCTTTACCTACACGCGTGTATCTACTCTATACCTAGGTAGGTATATATGTAAATGTATACTCGTACTACCCTTAACCGTCACTTTTGTTCAAGTAGGTATATACACTAGTGTACAGTATATACCATTGCCAGATGCGTCTTAGATGTTTCTTTCAAAACACAGAGGAAAGTTTGAAAAGTTTTACCGAATCTGGATACCTACCTATGTTGCGCTTTTAGCATCTTTTGGTCAAAATGATCATCTAAAATGCGTAAAATTTACTTTTGGAACTAGGTATATACCTACCTATATGTAATTCCGGTAATTAAGATCACGTAATCGATTGTGTGTTTGGGCCCAGTGAAGAATTTCAACATTACAGATGCGCTTGCACCCCTTCCTCCATTAGTCCGCTATAAAGTACTTATAGGTCATCTACTCTTAATACGGCATTCAAAATACTTATCTCGTTTACCTACATACGCTTTGACAACTGCTGGAAGAAAATTTTAAAAATTCGGACCTCTGAAGAGACCTTAAAAACCTTCATCGCGGTCCTTAAGAGAATTTCGATGTAGGTATTTAATGGCGCAAACGCAATTAAGAGCCCGGGAGAAGTTTCAAAGGCCTTCTAGTTCCAGATAAATTTAGGTTGCTTACTGACTTCCTTCACGGAGTTTGCAAGAGCCTATAAAACCTTTCTAAAAACTCTTTAAGAGTATTCTATACCTACTCTATAGTAGGTACTCCACAATTTTGTATATAAGATCCTGATGAGAACTTAAAAATCTTTAAGGTTTCGTAAGCCTTCAAGAGTGTCCGAGCACGGAGAAAAATGTATGTTAAAGGTAATTAAAAATATAATAATAGCTATCAAAAAATATAATACGTATAGGGATAGCTATGAAGAATTATAAAATTTATCATACCTTTCCTATTCATTTTGGTGCGTAGAATCCAAAACAATTCGTACTTTTTCGATCAGACTTCTCAATCAAAAGTTATAGACTAGAAACCAATTTCGAAAGAAAATTCAAAGGGCTGTAACTTTTGATCCAGTAGCCCGATCTTGGAACTGTTTGAAATTATGGATTCTACAGGCCACATCCTATATGAAAATGTTTTTTCCCGGTCGATCTCAGACAATTTTTTTTTCGGGCCAAAAAAAAGGCAGTGTATAACCTTCCAACCAAAAACCAAAAATCGACTGCACCAAAATTTCTCGGGAAAACACTTTTATTAATAAGTTTGGTGCGTAGAATCCAAAACAAGGGAGAAATGAAGACTTCTGGAGTGCTTTGTAGTTTTCCTGCTTTCCTGCTACCTTAATCTACACAGAGGTATGGTTTGATTAACAGGCGATCTCCCAGCATGTATTTTTCAGGTCTTCCATATTACAACCCTCGATGGTATCGTAGGGAGACATGATGACTTCTGGAGTCCTTTGTAGTTTTCCTGCTTTCCTGCTACCTTAATCAACACAGAGGTATCGTTTGATTAACTGGCGCTATCCCAGCATGTATCTAAAGCATTTGCTTTATTTCATGCCTTCCATATTACAACCCTCGATGGTATCGCTAGGGAGAAATGATGACTTCTGGAGGCCTTTGTAGGTTTCCTACTTTCCTGCTACATCAATCAACACAGAGGTATCGTTTGATTAACTAGCGATGACCCAGCATGTAGCTAGAGCATTTCCTTTATTCCAGGCCTCCCTTATTGTAACCCTCGATGGTATCGTAGGGAGAAATGATTACTTCTGCAGTCCTTTGTAGTTTTGCTGCTTTTCTGCTACATTAATCAACACAGAGGTATCGTTTGATTAACTGGCGATATTCCAGCATGTATCTAAAGCATTTGCTTTATTGCAGGCCTTCCATATTACAACCCTCGATGGTATCGTAGGGAGAAACGATGACTTCTGGAGTCCTTTGTAGTTTTCTTGCTTTCCTGCTACATTAATCAACACAGAGGTATCGTTTGATTAACTGGCGCTATCCCAGCATGTATCTAAAGCATTTGCTTTATTGCAGGCCTTCCATATTACAACCCTCGATGGTATCGTAGGGAGAAATGATGACTTCTGGAGGCCTTTGTAGGTTTCCTACTTTCCTGCTACCTTAATCTACATAGAGGTATGGTTTGATTAGGCGATGTCTCAGCATGTATTTAAAGCATTTGCTTTATTTCAGGCCTTCCATATTACAACCCTCGATGGTATCGTAGGGAGAAATGATGACTTCTGGAGTGCTTTCTGATGACTTCTGGAGTGCTTTCTAGTTTTCCTGCTTTCCTGCTACCTTAATCTACACAGAGGTATGGTTTGATTAACTGGCGATATCCCAGCATGTATCTAAAGCATTTGCTTTATTTCAGGCCTTCCATATTACAACCCTCGATGGTATCGTAGGGAGAAATGATTACTTCTGGAGTCCTTTGTAGTATTCCTGCTTTCCTGCTACCTTAATCTACACAGAGGTATGATTTGATCACCTGGCGATGACCCAGCATTTAGCTAGAGCATTTGCTTTATTTCAGGCCTTCCATATTACAACCCTCGATGGTATCGTAGGGAGAAATGATGACTTCTGGAGTGCTTTGTAGTTTTCCTGCTTTCCTGCTACCTTTAATCTACACAGAGGTATGGTTTGATCAACTGGCGATGACCCAGCATGTAGCTATATAGAGCATTTGCTTTATTTCAGGCCTTCCATATTACAACCCTCGATGGTATCGTAGGGAGAAATGATGATTTCTGGAGTCCTTTGTAGTTTTCCTGCTTTCCTGCTACTTTAATCAACACATAGGTATCGTTTGATTAACTGGCGATGTCCCAGCATGTATCTAAAGCATTTGCTTTATAGCAGGCCTTCCATATTACAACCCTCGATGGTATCGTAGGGAGAAATGATGACTTCTGGAGTCCTTTGTAGTTTTCCTGCTTACAGAGGTATGGTTTGATTAACTGGCGATGACTCGGCATGTATCAAAGCATTTGCTTTATTTCAGGCCTTCCATATTACAACCCTCGATGGTATCGTAAGGAGAAATGATTACCTACTTCTGGAGTCCTTTGTAGTTTTCCTGCTTTCCTGCTACATTAATCAACACAGAGGTATCGTTTGATTAACTGGCGCTATCCCAGCATGTATCTAAAGCATTTGCTTTATTGCAGGCCTTCCATATTACAACCGTCGATGGTATCGTAGGGAGAAACGATGACTTTTCTGGAGTCCTTTGTAGTTTTCCTGCTTTCCTGCTACATTAATCAACACAGAGGTATCGTTCGATTTACTGGCGATATCCCAGCATGTATCTAAAGCATTTGCTTTATTTCAGGCCTTCCATATTACAACCCTCGATGTATCGTAGGGAGAAAATGGTGACTTCTGGAGCGCTTGTAGTTTTCCTGCTTCCTGCTACGCTTATCTACACAGCAGGTATGGTTAGATTAAAGGTTGTTCTCACAGCATGTATTAAAGCATTTGCTTATTTCAGCCTTTCATAATTACAACCCTCGAATGGTGTATCTATGAGAAAATGATGACTTCTGGAGTCCTTTGTAGTTTTCCTGCTTTCCTGCTACATTAATCAACACAGAGGTATCGTTTGATTAACTGGCGCTATCCCAGCATGTATCTAAAGCATTTGCTTTATTTCAGGCCTTCCATATTACAACCCTCGATGGTATCGTAGGGAGAAATGATGACTTCTGGAGACCTTTGTAGTTTTCCTGCTTTCCTGCTACCTTAATCTACACAGAGGTATGGTTTGATTAACAGGCGATGTCCCAGCATGTATTTAAAGCATTTGCTTTGTTTCAGGCCTTCCATATTACAACCCTGGACGGTATCGTAGCGAGAAATGATGACTTATGGAGTGCTTTCTAGTTTTCCTGCTTTCCTGCTACCTTAATCTACACAGAGGTATGGTTTGATTAACTTGCGATATCCCAGCATGTATCTAAAGCATTTGCTTTATTTCAGGCCTTCCATATTACAACCCTCGATGGTACCTATCGTAGGGAGAAATGATGACTTCTGGAGTCCTTTGTAGTTTTCCTGCTTTCCTGCTACATTAATCAACACAGAGGTATCGTTTGATTAACTGGCGCTATCCCAGCATGTATCTAAAGCATTTGCTTTATTGCAGGCCTTCCATATTACAACCGTCGATGGTATCGTAGGGAGAAACGATGACTTCTGGAGTCCTTTGTAGTTTTCCTGCTTTCCTGCTACCTTAATCTACACAGAGGTATGATTTGATCACCTGGCGATGACCCAGCATTTAGCTAGAGCATTTGCTTTATTTCAGGCCTTCCATATTACAACCCTCGATGGTATCGTAGGGAGAAATGATGACTTCTGGAGTGCTTTGTAGTTTTCCTGCTTTCCTGCTACCTTAATCTACACAGAGGTATGGTTTGATCAACTGGCGATGACCCAGCATGTAGCTAGAGCATTTGCTTTATTTCAGGCCTTCCATATTACAACCCTCGATGGTATCGTAGGGAGAAATGATGATTTCTGGAGTCCTTTGTAGTTTTCCTGCTTTCCTGCTACATTAATCAACACAGAGGTATCGTTTGATTAACTGGCGCTATCCCAGCATGTATCTAAAGCATTTGCTTTATTTCAGGCCTTCCATATTACAACCCTCGATGGTATCGTAGGGAGAAATGATTACTTCTGGAGTCCTTTGTAGTATTCCTGCTTTCCTGCTACCTTAATCTACACAGAGGTATGATTTGATCACCTGGCGATGACCCAGCATTTAGCTAGAGCATTTGCTTTATTTCAGGCCTTCCATATTACAACCCTCGATGGTATCGTAGGGAGAAATGATGACTTCTGGAGTGCTTTGTAGTTTTCCTGCTTTCCTGCTACCTTAATCTACACAGAGGTATGGTTTGATCAACTGGCGATGACCCAGCATGTAGCTAGAGCATTTGCTTTATTTCAGGCCTTCCATATTACAACCGTCGATGGTATCGTAGGGAGAAACGATGACTTCTCGAGTCCCCTTTGTAGTTTTCCCTGCTTACAGAAAGGTAATGGTTTATTAACTGGCGATGACTCGGCATGTATCAAAGCAATTTGCTTTTATTTCAAAGGCCTTCCATTTCAACCCTCGATGGTATGTAGGGAGAAATGATTACTTCTGGAGTCTTTGTAGTTTTTCCTGCTTTCCCTGCTACCTTAATCAACAACAGAGGTATTCGTTTGATTAACTGGCGATGTCCTCAGCATGTATCTAAAGCATTTGGCACCTCGACTTTAAAAAAAAAATTCTTTTTTTTTTATTAAAAAAAAAAAAAAAAAAAAAAAAAAAAAAAAAAAAAAAAAAAAAAAAAAAAAAAAAAAAAAAATTTTGTTTTAAAAAAAAAAAAAAATAATTTTTTATTTATTTTTTTTAAAAAAAAAAAAAAAAAAATTTTAAAAATAAAAATAAAAAAAAAAAAATAAAATTTAAATTAAAAAAAAAAAAAAAAAAAAAAAATTAAAAAATAAAAAAATAAAAAAAAAATAAAATTTTAAAAAATAAAAAAAAAAAAAAAATTTTTTTTTTTTTTTTTTTTTTTTTTTTTTTTTTTTTTTTAATTTTAAAATAAAAAAAAAAAAAAAAAAAAAAAAAAAAAAAAAAAAATAAAAAAAAAAAAATTTTTTTTGTTAATTTTTTCTAGTTTTTTTTAAAAATAAAAAAAAAAATTTTTTGTTTTAAAAAAAAAAAAAAAAAAAAAAAAAAAAAAAAAAAATTTTTTTTTTTTGTTTTTTTTTTTTTTGTTTTTTAATTTTTTTTTTTATTTTCTTAAAAAAAAAATTTTTTTTGCAGGCCTTCCATATTACAGACCCTCGATGGTATCCAGTAGGGAAAAATGATTTCTTCTGGAGCGCTTGTAGTTTTCCCTGCTTTCCTGCTACATAATCAACACAGAGGTATCGTTTGTGAATACTAGCCGATATCCCATATGTATCTAAAGCATTTGCTTTATTTCTGGCCTTCCATATTACAACCCTCGATGGGTATCGTAAGGAAGGGAAATGGTGACTTCTGGAGGCGCCTTTGTAGTTTTCCTGGCTTCGCTGCTACCTTTATCAGCAACAGAAGGTATCGTTTGATTAACTGGCGATGTCCGCAGCATGTATCTAAAGCATTTGCTTTATTGGCAGGCGCCTTCCATATTCAACCCTCGGGGTAATCGTAGGGAGAAATGATGAACTTCTGGAGCGCTTGTGTTTTCCTGCTTTCCTGCTACCGTTAATCAACAACAGGATATCGTTTGATTAACTGGCGATCCAGCGATTGTATCTACAAGGCATTTGCTTTGTTCCAGGCCTTCGCATATTACAACGCCTGGACGGTATCGTAGCGAGAAATGATGACTTATGGAGTTGCTTTCATAGTTTTCCTGCTTTCCCTGCTTACCTTAATCTACACAGAGTATGTTGATTAACTGGCGATATCCAGGCATGTATCTAAAGCATTTGCTTTAATTTCAGGCGCTTCCATATTAACAACCCTCGATGTACCTATCGTGGGAAGAAATGATGAGCTTCTGGAGTCCTTTGTAGTTTTTTCCTGGCTTTCTCTGCTAGCATTAATCAACCACAGAGGTATCGTTTGATTAACTGGCGGCTATCCCAGCAATGTATCTAAAGCATTTGGCTTTATGGCAGGCTTCCATATTACAAACCGTCGCTGGTATGCGTAGGGAGAAACGATGAACTTCTGGAGTCCCTTTGTAGTTTTCCTGCTTTCTGCTACATTAATCAACACAGAGGTATTGTTTGATTAACTGGCGATATCCCAGCATGTATCTAAAGGCATTTGCTTTATTTCTGGCCTTCCAATTAGCAAACCCTCGATGGTATCAGCTAAGGGAGAAAATGTTTGATTCTGGAGCGGCTTTGTAAGTTTTCCTGCTTTCCCTGGCTACCATTAATCTACACAGAAGTATGGTTTGATTAACAGGTGTTTGCTCACAGCCATGTATTTAAAAAGCATTGCTTTATTTCAGGCCCTTTCATATTACCAACCCTCGATGTATC